GAAATCATCACCCTTTGCTGCATGCAGTGCAAGTCTCAAAGCCGAAGGACAGCAGCTACCTGCACTGATGCTGTGACTGTCCGTGATGATGGGCAGTGTAGCGCCTGCCAACGTGACTCAGTGTGAGCTGGTACAGAATGTCCAAGGGGAAGGCCCCAGAGGGGAGAGCGCAGTTTTCCTCCTTGTTCTAGGGCATCTGTCCTAGTGAAATGACACATTCCCAGAACTCCATCCTTACCAATGTGTGACAAGAATAACTTGGGGTTTTATGGTTGTCCTGCTAAGATCTTAATGCTTATTTAATCAACGCAGTTCAGACTGGAGGGAGGGTGTAAGTACATTCAGGTGCTTAATGGACCATTTTAAAACTAATACCAGACTCCCTGACAACTAGTCAATTGTTCTAGCTTCTTCCCACATGGTCTACTCATTTCTCTTCTCTGTCATCATCCACTGTCCTCTCTCAGGACAGTTTTGAAAGACTTGAGCATAATTCTAGTGACGGAATAATTACAGTGTTTGTAAGCCGGCGAAAGCTGTGAGTAATTATGGCCCAGTTGCAGATGTAACATCTATTTACACAGGCTTAGATAGGTAATCACTAGATAAAATTGTCCAGCAGCAGCACATAATAAAATGCAGAGCAACAAGGAAACCTCTGTGTTCAGACTGGATTGCTGCTGGTCCCAGCACAAGTACAGGGTCTAGTCTGAAAGACTTGACTTGACCTGGTGATTTTCCCTGGAAGAATGTTGTCCTTTGATAGCTTGCCCGGATTAATTGGAACACAAGCATGGAAGATCCTGCTTCCATGATCAGCTTCTCTTCCTTACCAAGGAATTTCCTTTTGTGCGCACGCGTGTGTGTGTAATATATATATGAAATGCTTTAATTTTTTTTGTGTTCATTTTTAATTCATGCCATGAACGATCCCTAAACGCATTTGCATGGCTTGGAATCAAGCAGCTTTTCACCCTCAATTTAAAAAAACCACAAGCTGCTGCTGCCATCTGGTGATAGAATAAGAAAAGGTTTCAAAGTGCTATTTGCTTGGAGGACCTGGGGGAGCAGGAAGTACCACAGGTATCACTGCATCAGATTTGCAGCTTGAAACAGCAAAGCACTTTTTTAATGCAATGGTAAATGCTGTTTTGAAGCGGCCTGTATGCCGGACTGACCGACTTACTCTCTGGGTTTATGCTTTGAATTAAGATTAAGGTGATTATTCTTTAAAAATTCCTAATATAGTGGTTTACATTAGTTTGATATCTGCTTTTTACCTTTTAAGTAGCTGGTTGTGAGTAATTTACTTAAAAAAACTGATTGCCTGACTTACAGCTTTCCGAGGAAACAGAACCGATACGTTCCATCAGAACAGGCTGATGTAGCCTGAACAAAGCACTAGGCTATGTACTGTAGGAAGCGATTCTCCACTGGGACTGGGTGATCGAATAGGCATTTTCCCTCTTCATTGTCCTTGATGAGGCTTTGTTAATATTGCTTGAAAGCAGGTGCTAAACTAGACAAATTACTTTAGCAATTACACTGGCTTTCCTTATTAGTTGTAATTAGTGTACAATGAACACTCCAGTGCTGTAATAGCCATCTTCTGAAAGTAATGTAAACAGCACATCTGTGCAGAATACCCACAAGAGAAATCTCTTCCTAGCCTGCTGTGTCCTAAGACTTACAAAAACAAAATGAGAAACTAAGTACCCTAATGGGGAGGGTAGGGGGAATTCCCTCATTACAGCCCCCTAGCAGCTACATTTAACGATTCCCACAGAGAATTGTCCTGATTTTTGCCACTTTCTCCTAAATCCTGTGTGCACGCTCACAAATCTAGACAACACCACAGAAGATAAAGTTGGCATCTCAGCATATTGATCCATGGAGTGTAAAATATTTCCATCCCCTTAAAGGTCCCATCTACAACTGGAGCCTTTTAGCAGTGTTTAAAGCAACTCCTGAGAAGCAGAGACCAGACCTGCAAGAAACACTGAATTATAATGGAAATTCTCTGCATACTGCATACTTTAAAGACTTCCCTTGTGAAGGCATGGAGCTGATCATAAAACTTTAAAAGGGTATGTGGGGAAAAATAGAATTTAATAAAATTTTAGTTTATATTTTTTTTAAATTCCTGATAACAGGAGGGTTATTCAGAGCTCTTTCCAAAAGATCTGATCTTTCTCTCCTTTCAACAACCATTGCAGCCCCAGTACAGTTTATATTGCAGATTCATAGAATATCAGGGTTGGAAGGGACCTCAGGAGGTCGTCTAGTCCAACCCCCTGCTCAAAATAGGACCAATCCCCAACTAAATCATCCCAGCCAGGGCTTTGTCAAGCCTGACCTTGAAAACCTCAAAGGAAGGAGATTCCACCACCTCCCTAGGTAACGCATTCCAGTGCTTCACTAGATTGTTGTAGCTAAGACAACCACCTATAAAGTGGGAAATATCTCTTGTTCTGAAATCTACTGAATGTGCCAGAATTGCAGCGGCTTCCTCCTCACCCCTTTTAATGACTCGTCACAAATGTATTCTGATTTATATTTTACATCTGAAAACTATTCTGTGGATCCAATAGTCCTGGCAGCATCAGGGGCCAGTGTCTCCACTGCCATGTTTCTTGTGCCATCATTTACACTCGTGCAAAGTGACTGTGAAATTGCAGCCTTTTAACACCCATCTTGCCCTGGCTGAGATAACTGTGCACACATGGGGCAAGGCACCAGAGAATCAAGTCCTAAGGGAGTTACTGTCTCTTTAGGTTACAAATGAAATACATGGAGACAGGTGTACAGCACTTGCTAGTGACGTGGAAGGCACTTGTTGGCAAGATAAAATAACCAGGCCCTGAGGGGAACCCTTTTGTCTGCTGTTTCCTCTTTTGTGAGGTCTGTATGGGAGTTTGACAGGTCAGGTCCTGGGTTTGCAGACTTCAAAGCTGTGGACTGCACATGTTCAGATTATTGATTTGTCTGTCCCACAAAATGTGTTTTCCTGGCTGGTTTCCAAACAAGTCCTGCTACCCTGTGAGCTCTAAACATGATCTGGGACCTCGTCGTGACGTGCCCCTCACCCTGACATCCAGAAGCTCTAGGAACACATTGGTAGTGATGATACTTAAGTGCTGACAATCTGCTCAGCCTCTACATTGTGGGTCTTGACCCCAGGGGATTTATGGCTCAAACACAGATAAGATGCATGGGAGAGTAAGAGGATGGGTTGAATTTGACATTTCTCTGCTCCCCCCCTTATCTGCACTCTGTTGGGTGGAGAAGGCAGCGTTCGACTGACATGGGTTAGTGCTTGCTACCTGGTGCAAGAAGTGAGTGTTTAGGAGGGATTTGGACGAGGAGACAGGGTGATTGCTCTGTGTGTGGAAGATGGCACAAACGTGGCAGCTGGAGAAGGAAAGCAAAGGGGCTGAGCCTGGCATGGTGGGCAGAGAGAGGATACATTAAACACTAAACTCTATCTGAATGATGGAGGGTGACCGATGATGACGTTCCTGGGGCAGTAGACAGTCCAGACAGACCCATGCGAATTGACTCTGTTGTCCTGTGGAGAGCCCAGCAAAGCTAGTGGGCTGTTTCATGGATGCAAGAATCCATTTGCTGGACCAGGGCTGAAATTAGCAAATGAGACTATAGGTCCATGGAGTCAAGACTTTCAGATTCTGTGTCCAGCTTCCACTGAAGTCAGACTTTGCAAGGCCCCCAGAGAGAATTGCCAAGCTCCTTTATCAAGGAGAACTGAGTACCCTCGCCTCTTGTGGCACACTTGGGTTTCTCAGTGACTTCACAAGCGACAGGAGTACCTTTTGGACTTACTGCTTCTCTTATATTTACTGCCCTTCTTTGCAGTAACAGTAAATAAATGAGGAGCCTGAAGGAAAAATGCTTAATAAAAATCAGGATTTTAAAAAAATAATTGAATGCAACTGAGCTTTAACTGCAACTGCGGGAGCAGGGAAGAGGCAGGGAAGAATTTAGAGATGCACAGAGTTTAAGGCCAGAGATGCTCCCCTTATTTTTCTGAGCCTCGCAATCTGGAATGACTTCCCCCAGCAAACGAGGACATGGATCTGTTTTTATTCTTATTACAATCGGTGGTGTTGAAGCTCGTGCTGAGCCATGGGGTGGAAAGTAATGTTGCTGGCAGCCTGAGAGTGGGTAGAAAAGATTCCGACCTGCTCAAGTACTTGCTAGTGTTAAGAAAACATTCAGGATCAATGTTAGTTTGGAATACTGACTACACTTCTCAAAACTGGGTGCCTAATACTTGGATCCCTTAATCTGTATTCAAGCTCCTAAATAACTGGCTGGAATTTTTGAGTCTCCCTCTCTTAGCCCCCACCAGCAGCTGCCTCTGGCCACCTGTGACTCATGTCACAACACCGGTCATCGGGGAAAGGACTTCTTATCTCGAACTTCCAGGCTGCTGAGAGGCAGGAAAGTTATGCAGCTTCCTGTCTGAATGAAGGTGAAGCGAAGGGTAAGTCCACACAGGGATAAAAAACCTGTGGCTGGCCCAGGTCAGCTGACTCAGGCTCACGGGGCTAACAATTGCTGTGCAGACATTTGGGCTCGGTCCCAAGCCTGAATGTTTACACAGCAATGTTTAGCCTCGCAAGCACCAGCTGTGCCGTGCTGCAGGTCTTTTACCCCCCTGTAGGCATACCCTGTGTGTCAGATGGGCAATGGTTTTCTTCCAGTAAATCACCCCAGGGTTCACTTATTCCCAACGTTGAATGCCTTTTGTGTTCATAGGATGCTCTACCTAAGATGGACCTTTCAACTAGGGCGATCCCAGCCAGATCCTGGCACATGCGCTACGTGCAACTATTAAACAAAAAGAAAAGGAGTACTTGTGGCACCTTAGAGACTAACCAATTTATTTGAGCATGAGCTTTCGTGAGCTACAGCTCACTTCATCAGATGTAAGAGCTGTAGCTCACGAAAGCTCATGCTCAAATAAATTGGTTAGTCTCTAAGGTGCCACAAGTACTCCTTTTCTTTCAACTAGGGCGATCCCAGCCAGATCCTGGCACATGCGCTACGTGCAACTATTAAACAAAAAGCTCTTTCGGTCTTAAGCTTGCTCATGCCTCTTGTCCCTAGTGAAACGCATGTGGCATGACAGCGTTTAACCCTGGATTATCCCTGCTCTCGTTGTGTCCCTGACACTCTTCAAGAAGCTCAGGATGCCTGAGCCACCAGTGCCCCTCTCTTGTAATGACGAAGGCGGGTTAATCTGAAGGCTACCCGCCCAATGGCTTGGTTTTCCTTTCTTGGCTTTGGCATTAGCAGCTGCTGTGGTGATGTACTTGGTGACAATAGCAATGTGATAGGTTCTCAAGTCCACCAGGGCGGACACACACTGGTTGTAAGCTATGCGTAGCTTTTCATTTCCAGCGGACAGTATATGTTGCTTCAGTGAAGGGGCAGAATGGATTTCTTCTATGAAGGCCCTGTGGTGGGGTGGCATGTAGTCCCTCATCCTGTGTAGAAATGCAGCTGGAAAAGACCAAGAAAGGAAGAGGTGAATCACTTAGCCAAAGATAGGAGGGGGGAGGTATTAATTATTAAAGCTAATCTTGACAATTCCCAGGGAATACTTTAATATCGGGACCTGCGTAACATCTAACCTGCTATGATTCGTTCTAGAGTGCTTCCGACAGGTGCTCTCCTGATCTTCCCCAAAATACCCTGCCAGCGGGTCTCAACCCTGACCTGCCAAGCGCTTGCTGATGTGTCCGAGCAGAGAATGCCAGCTGTGTAGAATTGACATGGATCAATAAGGGACTAGCTTGAAACCCACCCAGCACTTTTGCATTTGTGACCTAAGTCAGATTTGTCTGCAGATCCCAAGCATAGAAAACAGGCCCATATTCCCAGCTGCACCCAGAACTCCCATCCATGGCTTCCCAGTAGCCACAGATCTTGGTAGGGAAGGTCGTGTCGGAGTTTCTGTCTGCCCCTTGACAGTAGTAGTGATAGTGACTTGCTCTATAGCCTAAGAGGGCAACTGGTGACCACTCTTTTTTTTCCGGGCCTGGAGGCTCTTAATCAGTGGCACCTTACAGTATCCATCCTATTGATCCTGTTGCAACTCTACTCAAATTACAGAGCACACTAGAGACCCGTGATGTAGTATGGTCTCTCTTCACAAATGCATGTGGCTAAATATCCCCAGTGAGTAATATTGGCTCTTATACCAAGAAATATATCCCTAATAAACCAAGTGCATGCAATAAATCTGGAGAGATCCTGTAGTTCATTTAGCCTTGCTTAAGACTAAAGCACTATCGCTTTCCATTCTTTATGTTCTTTCAAGGTATATCTGTGTAAATGGGGGAAAATAATAAAGCGAATTAAAAACATTTAAGTGCCTTTAAAAAAACTGATAAACATAAATTGCTGTTTTCAGCATGAGCATATTTGTAAGAGGCCCTCTTTATAGTTCAGATAAGCAAATGAAAAATCACTTTGAGTATGTTCAGCTCAAATCTGCTCAGATTTTAGAAAAGTCTCTAGTAAAACTCTGCTCTTTAATACTTCACTCTGGTAGCATGCTTCATAGTGCTTTGCACGGTTGGAAAGCCTCAGCATCTCTATTCTACACATGGGGAAACTGAGGCCGGGGCACACTGTCATTTGGTTACAGAGCTAGAAAACGAATCCAAGAGTTTCAGGTCCTGAGGGTGAAATTCAGCCCAAGGCCAATGCGCCACTGCCCTCCTCAAAGGAGGGCTTAAAGCCAACTTAAGGGGGGTGTTGGATTGTAGGTGGAACTCTGGAAGGGGTGAATTCCACCCAGTGTGCATTTCCCAGCCTGCCTTCAGAGGCTGAAGAGTTGCTGGTGCTGAGACGGTGTTCATGTCTCACTGAAACCAGGGCAGCACAAACCTCCAGCATATGTGTAAAATACTTTTCCATCTTTGCTGCTTCTCATTCCTCATGCATCCTGTTGATCTCCATGGGGCAGGGCCATCAAGTCGTGCATCAAGCCCTTTATTCACAACATGTACAGGAAGCTTTACTTCCCCTCGCAAGAGAATAGGACTAACTGGAATGTGAAAAGAACCACCCCCCTAACCCCAATACTGCAGCGCACCACTAGGGTTACATATTTAACCCCAAAGCCATTGGGCACTCCTAGCCCACGTGTCCCCATTTCAGTTCCTAGTTAGGCTAATTATAACGTGTACATGCGGGGGGTGAGTTGATGTTACTGACAGCATCTGCACTCTTGCGCTTCCTGCCAGTGCTGTGTCCATCTATAACCTAGACAGACCTGTTTGGTTTGAATTAGTCTATTAAGTAGGGCATGCCTTTGGGATTTGGTAATGGGGCTGCCAGAACCTGGGTTTAATAGACATCCTCCCACAATGTATTGAAGGGAACTTCTTCCCAGCTGACACAGAAGCAGGTGGATTTTGAGACAGTCTGATTGACACATGGCTTTATCCATTTGTAAATATACCTGATACAGAGCCACACCCATCTGCTTAAACAAATGAGCAAAGTTTTGTTTGACTTACTGCTTTCCTTGCTATGACGAATTGCTAATAACTCATCGAAGACATGAAGTACTGTGCTCTGTGCTGCGCTCCCTCCAGAATATGACATGGGCTCATCAGAAACTCCTTCATATATCAGCCCTCCTGGCATTGCTGGGTTATCTTTCCACCTTTAATGAGAGTGCAAGGCAGTAAGAAATGGTGCTTCAGTGAGCTAAGAACGCTGCGTTCGATAAACAGGGCAAGACTTCAAAATGCTGTCCCTACACAGGCCAGATGGAGTAAATCCTCCTAGGTCTGCCTCCTACATCATCATCTTGGGGCTAACCCTCTTTTCAAGTCAAGTTCTCAAATGTTAATATATTACACGGGAAGAAACTGAACATAAGATGTGTGTGTAACAACAAGTTCTTCTCATGCTTCATCCTTCGATACTTCCCTTCCCCATCCTGTGTGTGTGTGTGGTCATCCCGTGCCATGGCAAGTGTAACACAGATTGCAGTGTCTCAGATTAGGGACCTGTCATTTCCCTGTAAAGTGATATGCACGACTGTGCTGCATGAGAAATGAATACAACAAACCAACAGCAGCAATACTGATTAAAAATATAACCCATCCATCCCCTCTCAAGACAATTCAGCAGGAGAAATAGGTGATGGTACTGAGGATAAGCCATCCAAGACCGCTGCATAATCCTTGTACACCATCCAGAGCTGTCGTCGTCTGCTGGGTTAAATGCCGCAGAAAACGCCCTCTGGCTAGAAGAGCGCCGTGTGAGCGTCTGCTGACGCTCCTGCTGTGCGCTTGTTTGTAAACCGTCCTTTAGAACCTTCGGTAGCCAGATGCTGGAGATGCTCATGAGATCAGCAATGCCTATTTTAAGCCGTTTGTTAACAATTGCGTGAAGCAGAATGACGACCGCTCAGATTTTCTCGGCTGCCTGGAATACTCAGGAGAAGCATCAAACTTGCGCAAGGCTACAGTGTGGGGGGGAGAAGGGTCTCTAATGAAACAGGATTTCTATAAAATAATATTTTGGCAGTGATCAGTATGGTGGTAAGCATTTTAGCAAGATAAACTCTTGGCTCCTAAGATTTTAATTCCATTCTGTATAGTTCTTTAGGAATTAAAAGGGGTATGGCTTTTTAAAGGGGGTGTGTGTGTATTCCTCAGCAACAGAACATATAATTGCAAGGAGCAAGCTCTCAAGGTAATAGGCAGGGATTGGGCACTCAATTCTCATTAACCTCCAGGGCAGTTACTCTGAAATGGCTGTGTAGTGGTCTTAAAATGTAACCTTAATTGTCTCAGATACCAAGAGCGTCCTTGTTCATTGTAGTAGCCCACTGGACTGCTGCATAATCGTGATCGATCCATTCCATGGTTTTGAAACCAACCTCTCTCCCTGGTAATCTCTCTATTTCTCCTTTTAATTTACAGTGCAGAGCTTACAGCTTTGCTATGAGCTAAAATTTTCTAAATGACTCTACCTCAGCATTGAATCTTGAAATGTCGTCATGGCCGCTAGACTAGGCGGCAAGGGGGAATTATTAAAAGATACAAAGGGCAGTTAGGCTCCTGACTAACCCCCCTGCCCCTGACTTTCAATGGGGAGCTGGAAACCTCCTCCTTCGTTCCTTGTAGCAGGGACTTGTCTTGCTTTCCTATAAAGCACCAGTGTTTCCTATAAACACTGACTATGCGATAGTGTGAACCATGGTAGTGGAAAGCATACAGGCTCTGCTGCCTGAAAACAAAATTGTAGTGGTACCATCCAAGCCCCATCACCGTTGCTGGGAAACTTGTGTTTGGTTTTGCTAAAAGGAAAATAATAGCAAAACAACATTGCTGTATTATTCTCAGATCTGCTGGGTTAGGAGAGCATTTGAGGCAGATATTCCGAAGTCCTAAAAGTTCTGTTCTTTTCTTTTTGTCACCTTTCCTTTAGCATAATGATTCCTCTGGATACAGAGTAGGGACAACTTTCGTTTCCTGGAATGGAGTGCAGGGTTTTACCTTTATGTAATGTAATTCTCCTACCCTCACAAAAAACACTAGTCTTCAGCAAACCAATAAACTGGCCAGTCGTCTTTTTTTCCTGATCTGACATGCTTTTTTCCACCACTCCTCCAAACCCTGCAGTGTTTGCTTTATGCATCGCATGTTTACAAATGCTAAAAGCTCTGAATGAATGGAAAGGGGTAGGGGCAGGAATCAGGATTCTGGAAATAACTGTGCCCTGCCCTGAAAATGTCTCCTGGCTTCTGAAGAGTGGATATATTTAGCTGTTTATACTATTAAAATGTTGCAATTTTGGGGTTTCAGTTAGGTGTCTGGGGCTGACCGTCCCCCTGACGTTAACTTCCAGGAGCAGCTGTTATACAAATCTAAGAGGGAAACTAGTTTTATCATCAAACTTTCAGTTATTTTAGCTCTCCCAGAAATACATTTTATAGTAACCTCCAGTCCTGTGAAGTTTATAACAAAGGTTGTCAGCCTGCTTTAAACTCTGTTCAAGACCAGGTCAGTTTTGATGGAAAACTGAAGAAAATTTAAGATGCAGCAGGCCTTTACACTCGGGAACACTGACACCTGTTTTAAAATTAGAAACCCCCAAATAACACTGATATTAGAATAACTTTGGGGGTTCTGAGCTCTCCAAGTGAGGATCTGGCATGACAAAGGCGTTTTGAATGAGACTTCAGTTATTCCTGAGATTTTTGTTGTTGTTGCTTTACACACCTGAGTGGTGATCATTAATGAGCGGCATCCTGTTAAAACAGTGGCAAAGTAATTTGTTGTGATTCCATGGAGAACAGCAGAAGAGACCTACTGACCTTCCAGCAATGTCTACAGAGACATTGTATAGAGAGAGACTATATAGCACAAGGTCAGGAAGAGAGAACTGAAAGTGTGTAGATTGTAATCTCTTTGGGGCAGGGACTGTTGTTTTGTTCAGAAGGACAATGGGGCCCTGTTCTGTGACTAGGGCTCTGACGCGGTACAAATAATTTAACAATGTGTCCAACAAATAAACACCCATCTCCCAGGGTTGCTAGCTGGGTCAAGAACTTTTCATGATCCATTTCCATATGATTGATACTAACAATGTTCATGGTGCAGAAAACACCTGGGGGTGGGCTGGTCTTTTGAAAGGCAGGGACAGATCCTGGGAAAGGCAGAGGAGGAATTCTGACCAGGCGCTGTGTTGTGCTGTGCTCTCTTGCTGATACAGGCTCCTGTGACCACTGTCTCCATATATGAGAAGTTTAGGATTGGGGCAGGGTGGAACACACCTGAGTCCGGGGACCTCTTCATCCCGTGCGTTCGGCTGGCCCAGCGTGGATAAAGTAAACAAAAAATTCCCTTCCCAAAAGAGGGCTCTGAGGCAGTACAAATAATTTTACTGCCTCATGTCTAGGCACAAGGGCGTCACTCACTATAACCTGCGTTATCCCTGCTGCACAAGAGAGACTATGGCAGGTGATGTACCTACATTAGGGCTGCCTTCCTCCAACAGCCTCCTCTCTACCCTTGGGAATTGCTGACATGATCGTTCCAGAGGGAAATGCGCACCACGTACTTACCCAGACAGAAAGATCCGAATCACGGCATAAAATATTGCTGGATCCACATGGTCTAGGAAAGAAATCAAAGTGTGATGTTACTCCAAGCCAATGGCAGTTACTTCTGCATCAGCCTTCTCCCATCTCTTCCTTCTCAGTCTGAGCAAGAAATGCCCTGAATCTTTAGAAAAACAACTTGCGGAGGAGGCTGGAATGCTGTGCCCTGCCACCATCCCCCTCCCAAATGTGACCTGGCCCTTTAATGCTCCCGTGAGCTTCATTCGTGGTACTTAATGTTCACTTGAAATAAAGGAACTCCAGGTACTGGGAGCTGTTGCACCACGTGACTGGCTGATGTAGCAAAATTAGGCTGTCTCTGGCCAAGACCTCAGCAGCTTAGGCTGTTGATCATATTGTTATATGGATTCTTCCCTGAGTGCTCTGATGTTGGCTCTGCCATCTTGCTGAGACCTCAGTACCATCCCTCTGCCTTGGCCCCCACTGGCTGAGAGCTGGAAATGCTCTCAAGGGCAGGTTTCCACCATATGGACCCATTTAGTTCTGTCACCGTGGCTGCCTGTGCACATCGCAAACACGCTTCGCGCAGAAAACGTGCTCTCCCCACCTAAGCACGTCATGGTAACTTCACTTGAAACAAATGCATTGCAGCGTCTATGGCCTGTCTGTGTTCCTTGGTGATGCAGGATCACGCTGCTGCTGCTGGCAAAGTCTGATTACAGCGTGACGGTGGAGAATCACAGAGGGTTCAGAGGTCAGTGCAGCTAACATTACTCCCCACTGTACTTGTATATCAATAATGGAGAGGAGGGGGCATGAGCGTCTGGTAAAGCCAGGAGCTGTTGTAGTTAAAAAACTGGTCATTTATAAGGATGTGGAATAACAGAGGTGCAGTCTGAACTCCTCCCACACTGAGACCAATGGAACTCCCATGAAGAGCGCCACGTTGTCCACCATGGGGATGTGAAAGCTGGGTTCTAATCCTGGTTTGGGCCCTAACTGGCTGCTGTATCTCAGACAACTAACAGTAGCTGTGTGTTCCTTTCTGTAAAATAGTCTTCTGCTTCACAAAAAAATGTGTAGGGACATGATTTGAGATCCCTGGGTAGAAAGTGCCATGTTATTAAGCATTCACTCCTCTGGAATTCCCTATTTCCATACCAGGGGACAGACGCCCGACTAACCGTTCACTCTGGTTAAGCAAGGCTGGTCACAGCAGTTCTGGAATCAGAGGGGAGTTGAAGAGCAGTGAGAGGCTTTTCAGTGTTGCTGCTCTGATTGTGTCTCACAACTCCCTCGATTTTTCATTCGGGACTCTTGCTGAGCAATACAGACATACACACATCCCTGCACTGTCCTGGGAATATCTGTCTTGCATTTGATTTTTCTCCAAGCCATGACACCTGCAGCCCCGTCCCTGCCTAGAGTCTTTCTACTCTGTGTGCAAATGTGTTTCCACTCCTGTATCCCAATGAATTAATGTTTGTGCCGTGATCTAAAGACAGCTAAGTGTGAAGCAGTAGCATTACCGTGCATCCGTTTCAAAGCGTCGCTCATCTCTTTAATGGCCTTGGCCAGCTCTTGCAGGGCCTTATGCAGGGCCTCTTTGTCAGGCTGCAGGATGGCATTACCTGCCTGAACAACTGCCTGTAAGAGAACGGTGGAAGAGCTGTGATGTATTGGAGCAACTTGGGTTTATGTGCCCTCGGTGTGCCTCTGGGCACGCTGCCCCCTCTCTTTCATTGGGACAGGCTCTCCTTATCTTATTGGCTCATCCTAAGCTCACCTGGCAGGGCTTTCTCACCTTGCCATGGTAAGAGAAACCGAAGCAAACTGCCACCATGCTAGAAGGTGCAGATTGTTCTAAATTCTGACCCCTGAAACACTGGCAGATGCTGGGACAGGATCTCCCAAAGCAAAGCACAGGAGAGATGGTGGTTCTGTGCCCATCCGTGCCCCCAACACAGGATTGCACAATAACTCCAGATGTGACTTCCCGACCAGTGGCAGGCATTGGTCTCCATGGCTGTGTTTGCAACATTCTCTGTTTATCAACAGCACAGGGGAACGTGGGCAGTAGCAGTGCAAGCATCCGTATACGACGTTCTACACTAACACAGAGAGAACCTTCCCCTGGGGGAATACCTGCTAGGCAAGTGCATTCTACATATCCTATTCAGTTGTTTGCCGAGACTGCTAACAAAGTGGCCTATGTCTTCTGAGAACAGCCACCCCTCCTCTTCCGGTGAGCAGCCATTTGTCAGGCTGGGGTACTACAGATCTGGGCCCTTCATCTTTATCTTCTGTTTAATTCCTAATAAATCTGACTCTGATTGGATTGTGTTGACTGCAGGCCAGACCACCTTTGTTCAACAGACTCTTTTTTGACAATAGTCCATTCCACTGATACCTCTGAAGCGACCTCCTATCCGCTTTGCCTATGCCTGCAGATCTGAGTGAATTGCATCGGGAGTTGTAAACATTAAGAGAAATGTTTGTCTGCCCAGGATGGCACCATATGAGTTGTACTGTACCTTAATCCCCGGCGCTGCTGCCTTCTCAACAAGGAGGGTAACTAGAATGAATCCTCTCAAACTCTCCCCTCCGGGCAGGGAAAAGATGGTGTCCAGATTCCTTTAAGGATGATGATTTTTGAAATCACATAACGTGTGGAGATTAAAACACACAAATTCTAGGAATAAGACTAACTGGCCCTTCGCGCTCCCTCCACCTCACTGCTCTGAAGTGCAGTCAGCCAGGTTCTAGCCAGACCCTGCAATACAAGTGTTTTGCACTAGCTTTGGTCAGGCTCTAGTACACTACAAACCTTGCTGCTGGGTAGGTAGCAGTGTGGGGATATAGAACACCTTCCTCCTCTTAATCCCTTTCCCCAGCCACCACATCAGGATTGGGGAGAGGATGCCACACACTGAGAACCCACCTGAATTTTTCAAGTCTTTAGGCACTCAGAGTGGAAGACATCTGCATTGTAGAAGGCAGCACCTGCCTCCTATGCAAATTGCAAGTGGCTTGTACGTCCTACTCCCAGCCCCTCAGATCAAAATGGGGCATGTAGGGTCTGATTTTCTTTCAAAGGAGCTCCGTACCCCACATGCACCCAATGAGCTGAGTCCATCTCCACAATCCATACCTCTGTGCGAAAGATCACAGCTGTAGTCTGGTTTACAGAAGTCTGGGGGTCACATAGAAGCCACCCAGCTGCTGCTATGGGGCATTGGCATTCCTCTGCCCAGGAGTGAGCTGTTACGTTGTGCTCGTGTAGCAGGAGACAGATGTAAACTAAAAAGAGCCCTGAGGTGATGGAGCAAATAATTGAATTGAAACAAAGCTAATACAGTTAAAAAATAAATAAGCATATTAGATACTTACTCTATTTCCAAAGGGCTACAGGAGTTTCAGGTATTGACAGCAAAAGTGCGAGAAAAGGAAACAGGAATAACAAATCACTATATAGAAATGGAATCCATTACCAAAGATATGTGTACTTCAGAATGAGATCTTGTCCTAACACTGATGTTAACAGTAATGTGGCTCTGGCTCCTGTTTTTTCCATGTGCGCACACCACCTCCCCCCTCAATTGATAAAGAACTGGACTCTCACACCAAACCTGAAAAGATCTTTGTAGGGAATATTTATCTTTCATGCCAGCCAGGCTCAGAATGGAGTAAGAAAGGGAAGATTTTAAAGGACTATCAAAATGTCAGAGCTAAAATCTAAATGGACAAAAATGGTCTCAAACCTTCCTACTAGATTGACCAATGGTTGCATTTGTGCCGATTTGATACCTAACACAACCACTTTAATAACTCGATTTCGGTCTGTCCAGCTGTAGATTTCATTGTTCTTACATTTACCCACTAAGATTCTTTTTCTTCCAGTTCACTAGCACAAAATCCGCGTGGACCAGGATAGGAGGCAGCCCAAGCATCTGTGAGATCTCCCAGTAGGGAACAGCAAGGTTTCGTGGCAGAAGCTGGAAGACACAAACTTGTGCTTACTCATTTTCTCCTGAAAATGATCCAGTTGGAATGTTCGATGTAGCAGGCTCCTAGTCAGCAGGGAGCCAGGGACACACTGACCAGCATGCTCTGGTCTCAGACCCCAAGAGTACATCTATGCTGCAAAAAAAGGAGTGTTCTTAACTTGGGTTTAAGTAGCAAGGAAGACGCAGCAACTTGGGTTAAAGTTAAAGCCTGCAGGGAAGCTGGGGTTTGAACTCAAGCTGCCAACCTGAATGAAAAGCCGAGTTGCCATGTCTTTGCTGCTATTGGAACCCAAGGTAAGAAGGTTCCTTTTTCTGCAGTGTAGACGAACCCTCGAGCTGCACTTTGCTATTGATGCTGACTGATGTCAGGTAAGCTCAGAGCTTTGTACCTGTCAATATTGCAAGCAGTTCCCAGCTCAGCATGGACTTTCCAGCCCTCTGCAGGTACAAACATTTTACCTGAAGGGGGCCATTCTGCTGCCTATTCTGGTAGCATTTATCTGAAAAAAGCAAATCCTTCTTGGCTTCAAAGAGCAAATCTGTTTTGGTGCAGCTTTTACCTTGACGGTCTCCTCCTCGCCTTCTTGCCAAACAAACCCCATCGTGATGAAGCTCAGTGCCAGGTGGGCCAAGTGTAGCTCTCTGTGCCCTTTTAGATGCTGACTGCTCAGCTGGGGCATCTGCCAACAAGAAACTTGTGAATAAAGGCATTTTTTAGTGGTAAAAATTACCACCACCAAAGATCTCAATGCACCTGGCCAACTCCCAATGCCTTGTGGAGATATTCTCCTCCCATAAAGCGAGGCACCGACGCAAAGTAATTTGCCTTGCATCACAAAACAAGTCAGTCTGAGCTCAGAACAGGACCCAGGCATCCTGATGCCCATCCCTATGCTCTGTCACATCTGTGAAATATCCTTGCCGCCATCAACACACACGGCTTCTCTGCTCTGCTCTGGCTTTTCTTCTTTCTGCCTTACAACAGGGCTTATTACACTGATGGAACTTCTCATTTGTAGCACTATTATATGGTAACCCCCCTGGTCTGTTTAGAGCAGCGGCTCTCAACCTTTCCAGACTGATTTCTCTTGTGTACCCCGAGTTTCACCTCACTTAAAATCTACTTGCTTACAAAATCAGCCATAAAAAGACAAGTGTCACAGCACACTTACTGTAAAATTGCTTCTTGTCTCGTTTTTACCATATAGTTACAAAATAAACCAACTGGAATATAAATATTGTACTTACATTTCAGTGTATACTATATAGAGCAGTATAGACAAGTCATTGTCTGAAATTTTAGTTTGTACTGACTTAGCTAGTGCTTTTTATGTAGCCCTGTTGTTAAACTAGGCAAATACCTAGATAAGCTGATGTACCCACTGGAAGACCTCTGCATACCCCGGTTGAGAACCACTGTTTTAGAGAAGCTTTGCAGAAGGGTGTTTTTCCCTCTCACATCTAGTCTTTTAAAAAAAAAAAAATCACTGAGAGCTAATTTGAGATTAAAGGTGCTGTAGCAAAGCTCTAGATGCAGGAATCTGGAATAGTTTCACGTTATGATTAACTCCCAACCTATGTACTTTCTAGCTGAAATGATGAGTTCCGGCCCATCTTTGTGCTTTACCTCTAGTGACACCTGAAGAAAATCTCTCTGTATTACACACTGTATAGGAGAAGCTGTTTTTTTAATTTAACTTTTCTCCCCTTTTGGTTTTTTGAATCCCTATATGTCAGGATCTGTGTTTTCCTAAATGTTTGTGTGTAGCTTCATTTGAAGATGAAGCTCCAGTTCTGCGGAGGTGACTGGCACCAACATTAATTTGAGGTTAATCCCTAAGAATCTTTAATCCTCTACTTGAATTCTATAGGTACCTTGTAAACTTGTGAACGGAGCTGATGGCTCTGGATCAGGTGAGGCAGGTTGTTGGCAATCTCCATCCAAGGCCTGTAGGGAATAGGGAGTTCACTCTAGAACAGACAAAAGGCCTTAAATCATCAAACAAGTCTGTTAGGAGCTGGCACAATTAAAAAGTCACTGGCTGGATCTCCCCACCGAGCCCTAATTTGATGGGCAAGTTCATGATTGGTGTAGTGATGGCTGCTATGCGGCAGGAATGAGGGGCATTTGCAGAGTTCGGGGAGGCAGGACTGCAGGGTGGGATTGACAGGCATGACTGGTAGAGCTGCATGTTCAGGAGGGAGTCCAAGACTGGAGTAACAGGCAACTGAAGCGTATCTGAGGAATTGTGCTGGATGCTTGCAAAGTGCCTCACCGGGCAATATCTGGCCTGCGTCCTCTTTCTTCTTGTTAAATACTGTGGTGCTTAAAAAGAGCAGTGAGGTAGAGGGAGGGGTGTGTGTGTGATTTTTCTGAGGGGAAACAAAGCTGCCTTTCTTCCATTGGGGAATCCTGATCCTATCACGGTGTTTTGTATCCACTGATTTTCATGAAGAATAATTCCCTTTGGGGCCACATGGCTTTTATATTTTATCTGGGATCAATGTAAACTAAGTGGCTATTTAATTGTGTGGGATCTGAACAGGATGAAGGTCTAATGGAGTTTTTTTTTTTCTGCTTTTAAAAACTTCACTTTAATGACCCACTGATGTGAAACAAATCCCTTGTTCTCTCACCCCTTTGCCTCCAGTGATCGCAGGCAAGGTAAAGGAGAGGACAGGCTCATTTCCTGATGTTGCCCAGTGTCACTCCTGTTACTTCTGCCTTCCCCGAATTCTAAGGCATTTCCCTCTTCCTTGCAGGGGGGACCCAGACAGCGTGGTACTAGCTGACTTGCAATCAGTTTAGATTGGCTTCTTTTCCTCCTTCGTTCAAGGACGGTTGATGGAATTTAAAACACACAGACACAAAGTAGGGAGTGTGTTGTGGAGGTGCCCAGCAGGTAGGGAGGGGTGTTCCCCATGGAGCCAGTGGGGGAGTATGGGGCTATTTTAGGATTCCCCCAATGTCAGTCTCTTCCATGGCCGTTAAATTAGAATCAAGACTTGCTTTTTCTTTTAAAGCACAAATGGAGTTTCTCACTGCTCTCCTGAGAGTGAGGCTTTATTTGGGAATAGCAAAGAGACTCATATGAAAAACTGAGTCACAATTTGGCTGCACTACTGAGCTGAGGTTAGCCAGCTTCTGAAAACTACCGCTCAGCTCAGCTGAGCTCCCTGCATAATCCAACCCCTCTGATGTGCCTGGCCAGCCATTATGGTGCACAAGACATTCAGGATGTGTTCTCTCTGGGGATGGGTGGGGAACTTTTACATTATCTTTTATGTGCCAAAAGGGAGAGAAAATGAGCTACTTCTGAAAGTACTTTTGTGGTGATTAGCGGCCTGCAATGAGCAGATGGGGCAGAGGAGCTGGCTTGAATTGAATGGTTTGTTTTTCTGGTATTGCTGAGCACTTTCCAAACAGAAACGAGCAGAGTCCCTGCACGGGGAATATATAACTTCCTCCCCAGCAGAGATGCACACACCAAGGGGGCCACTTTGTTAGTGATTACGTATATAATTATGATTACATTACCATAGCAGCATATTGTAGCTTGGCTCTAAAACAGTCACTCGCCATGAGATGCAGACAAAGAACAGGCCCGAGCAGGCAGCAATCCTTGCATTGGGAGCTGTTTGGCTGTGACACGTTCAACGTCACAGCTAACACGGTACTGACAAACGCCAAGCGTTCAAAAGCTGAGTCAGGCCCCGGGTGGTTTAAAAAGAACCCAATATTTTAAGAAATCTCATGGTTTTATTGGCTTTTATATGGGTCACTTGTTTAGACTTACTCTGCAAAGCTTTTGTTGCTGTTGTTGTTTTTTTAATGACAGATTCTTGTGTAGTAACATGTCTCTGAGAACAGCATGTGAGGGAAATGGAGCCGCTCTGTAATAATGGTTGAACCATGTATGTTGACCTAGTTATTGGGATATTACTAATGACTACATCAGCTTAGATTAATGAGGAGGACTGTAAGAAAACAGAATGGCTCAAGATAAGCCACCCCTTGGTAAACACTTGTGGGTTCTTGAGAGATGATGGTTGAACTATTAACTTTGAAGAGTGACATCCTGGCTCCAGGCATCTTACAAAACGGGTTTTGATGAGCAGGGCCAAAGCCTGGAAACCAGATGATCAAAAGGGCTGTGGCAGTTTAAAAAGGGAGCCTGAGAGGGGGAGTGGTTGTTTGTCTAGGCGGAACCAGACTGATACATAGGACCAGTTGATGTGCCTGAAGAAGTGAGGTCTGCTTCGGGGATAGTTAAGCCTTTTGGTAAGATAAACGGGTAGAGACACTCTCTCTCTCTCTCTCTCTTCCTTTAAAATCCCTTTTCTCTAAGTGCTTTGTTCTCGCTGCAAAATAAACAATCTTGTGGTTTTCAGAAGGCTGTCTCCAAAGGGGCGTGGGTGTTCATAGAAACATAGGGCTGGAAGGGACCTCTGAGGCAAGTCATCAAGTCCAGCCCCCTGCGCTGAGGCAGGGCCAAATAAAGCTAGACCATCTCTGACAGGTGTGTGTCCGACCTGTTCTTAAAAAGCTCTAGAATAGGGAGGTTGTTCAGTCCCCATCATTGGAGCCTAACTTCCCTCGTAGGTTAGATATTAGGAATAACCTTCTAATACATCTCCCTTGCTGCAGTTTAAGCCTATTAGTTCTTTATTTTTTCTTTGGACATGGAGAACAGATGATCCCCATCCCCTTTGACAGCCCTTCAAATACGTTAAGACTCTCTTGTCTCCCCTCAGCTGCCTTTTCTCAAGACTAAACATGGCCAGTTTTTTAACCTTTCCTCATAGGTCAGGTTTTCTAAACCTTTTATCATTTCTGTTGCTTTTCTCTCCAATTTGTCCATGTCTTTCCTAATGTGCTGTCTCAGTGTGTGCAGAAGGCAATCAATCCTGCTGTTCTGGCATTTCACTATCTGTGGAACATGGTCTTTTTCCAGCTTGGAAGGAACTGGAATGTCAGTTACCATCCTAATGACTGTAAATACAATGACTTTTAAGGCCTGATCCTGCCAGATTCTGAGCAGGTGAAGCCAGTGGGATTGTCAGTAATTAGCATTAGAATTTTGTAGGATTGGGCCTTTTAAGTGCTGGCACTGTGATTTAAACAAGTGTAGCTTAATATCAAATAGCTTGTGTAGTCTGTATCCTGTTTCTCAGCATTTTACTGAATAATCTTGAATTGATTTCTTGGCATCCCTGCAAGCTTCTGCTCAAGGAGTGCCATTTATAATTTTGCTGTCACTTTTTAAAAAGGATTAAAGCTGAAAGTCTGTATTCTAAAGCTCACTCTCCCCTGTACTCAGACTCACGAACAATCTGTAAATACAAGATCAATTCTTTGGTGTCTTTCATTTCCCCTCTCCTCGCAGCTTGCTCCTGGCACTTTTATTGCTTTTTAAGAATTAGAATGTTATCCTCTATCTAATTTGCTTTAAATATTTAAGCAAAAAACAAATTGTATTTGTGTATAAATAAATATTAGTAAATGAGTGAATTACAAATGCTACAGAATAAGACAACTGCCCACCAACCCCTCTCTTTGAAGGTGTTGCGTTTCCCTTGACATGAATGTCTCGTATAGAGAGAGAGTCCCTACCAGAGGATTTGGAAGAAGGAATCCATAATCTTCAGAAAGCTGAAATCTTCTTAAAGTAAAAAGCAGTGGTTTCTCCTCATTTTCGCTATTAATCTCCATCGTTAGAGAGCTGAACTCTGCCTCAGTCTGGGAAAGTAGAACCTACTGCATAAGAGAGGCTTCAGACTCTATCTGGGCGCTGGCCCTGCTGTAGGAAGCATCAAATAAGCACACTTGTAATGTGCTGAGTAAGTGAAGCATTTTCCCTGGAATCCAGAGGTAGCAAACCTTTGTGCTGGGCGTAGAATCCTCAATGACCAGTGGGTCTGAGTAAACATGAATAAAGGTTGCTGATAAGGCAGTGTGCGGAGCAAACTCTAATCTAATCAACATCCCCTTACAGAAAAGTCCCGAAAGAGAGGTTTTCCTTCTCTGTTAAGATGTGTGTTTTCTGGATACTCCTGTGGAATTCAATAAAGAGCTCTAGACTGACTTGGGAAACTTATTAAAAATATCACTCTAAATCCCCACAGATTTTAATGGGGGGGGGGGGGAGAGGAGGATATCTACCAAGCCTTATTGGGTTAATTCCAATTAAATCCAATTGGACTCTTCCAGAAGGTCAATGTCCATTTGTAACAAAAAATGAACCCATCAGAGAAGGCGCGTGTCTCCATTGCACTAAGGTGCTTGTCGTTTCCTATGCTGTAGTAAAAGATGGCCTGTAGTTGATGGCGGCAATGACTTGCAAGTCGCATCCTCTGATCTGCAGCCAGTGCGGTCTCCAGACACTGCAGTTTCCAATAAATAAAGAAGTGCACCTTATATATGCATGTTACCATCCTAGCTATGTCAGTATAGGGGGATGCATACACTCTGTGCTGTGTGGATGAGTGGAAGGCCAGGAGCGTGTGTGTATCAAGAATGCCTGGGGACGATCTCTGCTGGCTGAGCATTAGCACTGTGATACGGGTAGCCGGTGTGAAGCCAGGTAGCCGGTGTGAAGCCAGGAGAGAGGGAGACCTAGAATGGGAATGCATAAAGTTTGAATCACTAGACGGTTTTAAGCAGGCCCTTTGCTTACTGCATCCTAGGCCGCCAGAAAGTGGTTTAAGGATCTGGCCTTGAATAAAAAGGATCACATCCTTGGCTTGAACTTCTGAGTGGTGGTGCAGGGAGACAATGTTGCATTGTGATGTGCACAGGGCTGGCAAGATAAGCAGGTCAGGCTGGGTCAGTGGTTGCAAGGGAGACCTCCTGAGGGACCCTGGACTTCCTTTGGAAATGATATTGGTGATCAAATAGGCAGGCAATTCCCTGCTCTGAGTCAGCTCTGCCTGCCTGCCCCGTTAGTCACCTCAGCTGAGGGTCCACCCGTTCATGCTCTGATGTAAGATCCCGAGGCATGTTCCATTGTAGGCAACTATGTTCTGCTTCTCCCTAGCCATGCCCCTGTGCTCCAGCCTTGGATACAAGAGTCCCCTCCCCTCCTTTGAGTGGCTGTCGTGCAGGTCTGGGCTGGGCAGCAGCTGCTGAGTTTCAGGGTGTAGGAGTGTTCTCAGGGAACTGCCTGGGAAAGGAGTGCAAAGCCTCTCGCTCCTCTCTTAACTTAGACCCTACCCCCGCCTTGTAGGAAACCACCATGCCCTGCGGCCTCTGTTCATGTTAACTTGTGTCCGTTGCAGTCCCCACTGTGCTGCTGTTGTCCTGAAAATCTGACCCATGTGGCTCCCGCAGTCTGCTCTGCAAAACCGGGTTCTGTAGCGCTGCCTTTCCTGTGTCTCCTGGGTGCTCTTTCTGATAATGGCCGAGGGGGGTTTCAAATACTTCCCCTCCTCCTCCTCCCACACAGCAGTCAACACAGCTGCTACTGCTGGCTGAGGGCTGTGGTCACTACCTATACGCACACATGCCAGTGGAATGGCCAGCAGCCCTGCCTTCAATTTCCTCCCCCACGCTCCAGTGCACATGAGCTACAGGATCTGGGAACCCTGCCTTCCCTCTGCTACACAGCAAACCTACGCTTGTGCTTGCTGTGGCCAGAGCAGGACTTCCCCTGCGTGGAGCCACAACCCCAGTGAACCAGCTTATTTCAGCCCATCGTGCGGAAGGTGAGGTCCTAGCGAGAGAAACTGTGCACACTTCTCCATTGCACATAGGTTGCCTGTGGCTCTGCAACTGGGCACCTTAGATATTCAAGTCTGTCCTATTACTGGTCTTGGCTCTAACTCCACAGAGCAAGACTCTCTCTTCCTCTGGCTGTGCAGACAGCACCTGTAGGGGTCATGAAGTTTGGGACTAGATCCTTTGGTGAGTGTAAATTGGCATTGCTGCATGGGCTTAGCTGGATTTACACAAGCCGAGGGTCTAGCCCTTGGTATCTACGTTTTAACTCCCAAATAATTACCCCACAGGGACTCTGAGCATGTTCTGGGCTATTGGAGTTACATGGACTCATGAGGACACTAAACTAGCATCACACCATGTTCATCTCCCATAGGAAAAGGGAGAGCAGGTTCTGTCTTATTTAAATAATAATAATAAAAAAGGTAGAACAAAGGACCATTTATCTTCAAGCTTCCTCTTGCTGTCTAGAATGTGATGGGTCCCAGTGGTAACTGTTGCATTGTTAAGGAGATCTACACCCCACTGGGGGAGAGTGGGGGCGTTTTGTTTTATTATTATTATGTGTTGCGGTAGCACCTAGAAGCCCTGACTGAGATCGGGGGCCCACTGGGCTGTGCACTGCACACACGCATAGTGAGACAGTCCCAGCCCCGAAGAGCGCTCACACTGTAAATACAGAAACCAGACAAAAGGTGGGAGAGGAAAAGGAGGCACAGAGAGGAAGTGACTTGTCTGAGGTCACAGAGCAGGTCGGGGGCAGAGCCACTGCAATAACTTAAACAGAAGTTATGGGCTTGAAGCGGAAATTACCAGGTGAGGTTCTCTGGTCTGGGTTTTATACAGGAGGTCAGACTAGATGATCATAAGAGTTCCTACTGGACTTGAAGTCAATGAACCTAGGTTGCCGGACTCCTAGCCTGGTGCCCCCATCTACTGACCCAAGCAGCCTTTCCTCGGGTTGCAGGAGCTTTTAATCCAGCTCAGACACTGCACTGGAATGAAAAACCAGAAGTGACCATGATGCTAGGTGCAGATCCTGTCTGTGCTGATTCCTGTTGGCTATTGTTCCAGCAAGGCCCACGGTTCCCTTCAAGCAACCCTTGACACCAGCCAGGCAGGAAGAGTGCTAAAGAATTTTGTTCTCTTCTCCAAAGGGAACAATGTATGCTGTACTAAGCACAGGCTGTATCTTAGTCTCTGTGCTTCGACAAGGTGCTGCTGATTTACCTTGGCTGTGCCAAGGATGATATTAGCACATAAGTTAATGGAAACGAAAACTGAAGCTGCTGTCACAAAAATAAGCACATCACAGCAGGGAATAAAATAAGTGACATGAAACATGTATTATGAAATTAAGGATTTCTTTCAGGTTCCAGCTAACTTCCCAATGATTAAATGTATGCTAATGTTATGATTTTGCCAATGCCAAATAGAGCATAAGATCCTAATGACTGTTTTAATTTGCATTAGTAAATTACATGCTGCTAATATGCTTGTCACTGAGCACAATATGCATCTGTACCTACTGCATGCACCCAGCCAAACAAACAGGTATTTATGGGAGGGTCATTAGAATAAGGCTCTGTTGATTTCCAGGCTAATTGTTTCAGTGATACATGGGAACAAAACTCCCTGCCCACTAGGTGGTTAATGCAGACAAGACTAAGCCTACTGTCTGATTAGGCAAATAAGACCAGACCCAGTAAACCATAAAGAGCCCAAGCAAACTCTCTACCTAAGTGCAGTCCTGCTCAACATGTCGCCCACGGATAGTCACCCTTTTTCCTGTAGGGCTGGGGACTTGTCCTAACTGAATATGAAAGCTCAGAGCAAAAACATTTAAAATCCTTCCTTCATTGTGTTCAGTCCCTGCTTTTCCTTCTCAGTTCAGCCCAGCTCTTTCTCCATAGCTTCTCTGCTGGGAACACTTAAAATCGCCTAGAGTTTGTCAGCATTACTGGGCTCATTTCTATAAACTTTCCATGGAAAGCCACCAAAGGACGGGGAGCCAGGACTCCTGGGGTTCTCTGCTGGTTCTGCCATGGAGTGGCGCTGTGCATGACAGACCTGGGCGAGTCAATTTGGCCCCTAAAGCTGGCTATCCAAGTTTGACTATTCAGGTCCTTATGCCTCTGGCCAAATTTTTTAAACTATCTGCCTCTGCAAAACGAGAATATTACATATGCCTCCTGTGGACTGACTGAGGGCACTTTCCCACAGAGCCCCAGCCTGCAAGTAAGGCCAAGAAACTCTGCTTCCCCCGGCTCTTAAAGTGACAGCTTGTGATTCCAACACAGTCCTCAGTACATCAGACCTCACATCTACTTCAGGTGGCTAAGTAAGTTCCTCATGTGAAAAGATAATGCAACAAACACAGGGAAAGCGTAACTTCCATCTCTGGCTTAGAATGTGGTTTCATGACGAGCCCATGGTATGGTTGGGGTTCTTATCTCAGCACAGCTTACTGAGTCAGTTTGCCCTTGGAAAGGGGGCCTTAGGGTACACACCAAATGCTGAGCTCTTGGGAAAATCTGGCCCTACGTGGCTTGTCCAGGGTCCTGCAGGAGGTTGGTGGTAAAAGTGGAATTAGAACCCAGGGGTTGTGGCTTCACGCCTAGCTCTGAACCACAAGACCATCATGACTCTGGCCATGAGTCAGCACCTGCTTGATGCTTTGGTGGGGATTTCCTGAAGTGATTCCTGCCCTTATGAATCAGACATCCTCTTGTCGTTCCCCAGCCCCCACAGCCACAGGGTGTACAAGTGCATTGATCTGAAATCTGAACTGTGCCTCAGTGGGGAGGAACTGAGCATCCACTGCGCTTTATCCCTGTTAGAGAATGGCCTCCACAGCCCCGACAGGCAATGTGGGGGTTAGGTCAGCTGATGTCTGCCCCAGACCGGAAGTTCTCCAGGCTCTGCCGAGCAGTGGCCAGAGCTGCTGTTGGTGGCTTTTCATAACCACGACGGATGTTCAGCTTGCTGCAGCTGCAATGGCTTTTGGTTGCCCTGGAGGCATTTCTCTAAGCTGCAGCTGCATCCTCAACTGATGGGCTCTCAACAGGGTGCACGGCACCTGCTGCCGCTTGGGGTTCCTGGCAGACGAGTTTTGAGACACGGTTTGCAGAAGCTGGTCGGGTATTGCTGGGGGAATGTCGGTCCATTTCCCAGGCCTGTGAATAGGCACTCCTGTCATGCAATACCCTGGCGTATGGCTTTGCCTCAACTGCCTCCATCTCCTCCTCACGCTCACTCCCGGCTCATGTTCCAGACAGGGTTGGTTTCTCAGCTCTGGCTGAATGATGGGGGATCTGAGAGGCAGTTCTCCTTGCCCCAGGCCACTTCTGGCCGCCTCTTCGGTAGTTTCTAAACCTCCTGTAGCTTCACAGCTAGGAAATGGATTTTCCTATCCCCTCCCTGCTTCTCTGTGGTTCACAAATGATCTGGGTTCACCTTACGCTGATCCTGAGACGGCATACATACCCTGGGGAGGGCAAGCAGGCAGAGGAGGGGTCTGCACCCAGAAGACTAAGGACCGCTTTAATTTCCTGGCAGGGCTCAGCCCCTAGGCAGCTCCTTGGGATCCATGCTGGACTAGGGTCCTATCTGGGTGCATTATCTCCCCCCACCCCACCAGGTTGGTGGGCAAGCGGCAGGTCCCTGGGGTTGTGGGCATCTTGCACCCCTGCAACTAACCTGCTCCCCTACAAGCCAGAGTAACCGGAGGCCAGATACAGACCCAAGTATTTAGCAACTTGCGTTATAACTTTCTTCCCCTTGCGGCTTTTCAGCCTGTTTGCACTTCCTCCTTTTGGGGGATTCACAAATATCACCTGAGTGCGGGGGAAGTTAGAGCTGGAAGCAACGTGTCTGCCCCAAGCTGGGGTTGTTGAGAACAGAGCTCTAATAACTGCCAGGTGGGAAGGGGAGTGAAATGTGCCACGACCAAGATGCCATATGTAAGACAGAGGTACAGAGCACTGCACTTTCCTGCCACTCCCCGGTGCGATGAGTGTGCATGGCTCTTTACACCATCGATATAAATACAGCAAACCCATGGCTTTCGATATTGGTTGTAATGTCTGGATTGTCCTTACCCATGTTGCAAAGGGTGCAGTTGCCATTCAGGGGCACCAGCCGGTCCTCATGGCTTCAGTGGATGCTCCCTCCATGCACCCATCTGCAGTGGTCCACAGATCAGGCTGGGTGCTGCCTTCCTGCTCCCCTTGACACTAGAGGAGAAGGCCCAATCCTTCCCCATGCCCCGGCAGTCCCATCCCATCTCAGGGTCGTGGCTAACACGAGGCTGACAGCAACAGGAAAGGGGCCCATCCGATTGTGCCGTCACCATGGCCTAGTCAGTGTGTTAACACCGTTGCCCCTGCTCAGTGAGCTGTGCCTTTCGGGTGGTGTCTCTGACGACTTTGAGAAAGCGCATGAACCCTGTCCCACCGGTTCCCCTTTCTGAGAGCACTGACGTGCCCTCGTGGACACAGCCCCCGAGCTGCTGCTGCTCTGCTCGGCACCTCCCGGCCGGGATGGTGATGTACTTGGTGGCGATCTGTATGTGATAGCTCCGTAGATCCACCAGCGCCAACACGCACTTGTTGAAAGCTGCACGCAGGCCTGCGTCTCCTGTTGCCAGGACAAACTGCCGGAGGGACGGGCCAGAAGCTAGGGTCTGAATGAAGGCCCTGTGAGCTGCTGGCATGTAATCCCTCATGCAACCGAGGTACTCTGCCGAGAACCCTGCAACAGCAAGGTAAGAGCATTAGTTTGGGCGATGCAGTAAAAGAGAGCTCGGCACTGTCCCCCACTAAAGAAAAGGTGCTGGGCCAAAACGGTGGTGGTGGTTCCCCAGCTCAGCCCTGCTCTGCCTCCACGCGGTGTGACCCACATCGCTCCTCTGAGTCATTTACAAAAGCTAATGTAAATGGGTGACTGACTCTCCCAACTCCAGTGCCCTGCTCTAAACTCTTACCCCGGGAAGTGACTGCACTATTGCTGAAGTACCGATTCCCCCTGAAAACTAGAGCAGCAGTGGGCTCGGACAGAGTTTGGCCCTTCGGAGTTACGTGGGCCAGGCAGCCGGCAAGTGGGGTGTGCGCACGCGGGGCTAATAACGTTGCTAAGCTGAGGCTGGTGGCCCCACTGTGTTTTCTGGCTCTGGCCCGTGTGAGGTTTGTTTTTGTTCTGTTCCGTGGGGAAATCCCTTTGTGGGGAGACCCCGGTCTCCTGCCCATGCGCGTCTGGCATGAGTCTTCTGGACTAACCTGCTGAATAATCGTCTAGTGGCTGGTGCCCCAGAAACGGGATCTCTTGGTGAAAGGCTTGTGTACTAGTCCCAGAATAACCGCAGCTTCCAGCCTCTATTGCCACTTACCCTGGGCTGCGCGGTGCTGGATTCCTAGCAGTACGTCAAAGCACTGTAACGTAGAGCTCTGTGCCGCACTGCCACCAGAGAACTGCTTGGGGCTGTCCCACACCCCCTCGTACACCAGCCCCTCCGGCATCAGGAAACTGTCCTTCCAGCTAGTTCCAAAAACATGAAGCGAGAACCAGCAGCATGACCTGAATGTGCTGTCTGTTGGGGTTTCTGTGTGGCTTGACTCGCCACGGTGATAGATACTAGTGCCTTGCAGCACAGGTAACTTCCGATCAGACAGCTGTTCCTGGAAACAGTGGTTGGGCAGTAAAGCCGCCCAATGCAAGATCTGTGCTCTGTTAACTCAGAAAGAAAAGGAGGACTTGTGGCACCTTAGAGACTAACCAATTTATTAGAGCATAAGTTTTCGTGAGCTACAGCAGACGAAAGCTTATGCTCAAATTGGTTAGTCTCTAAGGTGCCACAAGTACTCCTGTTCTTTTTGCGAATACAGACTAACATGGCTGTTACTCTGAAACCTGTTAACTCAGAGTGACCTGAGCACCACCCAGGCCTACCCCACCCCCTAGTTATCCCATCATGGAAGCGCTGTGCCCCCTGCAGGAAGGGGAACTTGGCGCTGCAATGCAGGCTTCCAGGCAGTGCCTGTTGGACTGGGCTGGGAACATCTTAGTTCTTTATACAACATGTGATGGGCCAAGTTTCTCATGTAGTATCACGGTAGGGTGACCAGATAGCAAGTGTGAAAAATCAGGGTGGGGGTGTGGGGGGGGGAATAGGGTCCTAATATCGGCACATCTGATCCCCCTACGTTTCGGCTCACTAGTCCAGTTTTTTGTAAAGTGGCTACCGCTCGCCAGAGAGGGCGAGACTTAGACAAGCAAAGGAGGAAGGGAACGGAGCTGGTGTCAGCAGCCTCCAGAAGGGGGAATCAGAAGGGTAAATACCCGCTCCTGCTGGGAGGTGAGAACTCAGTGTGCATTTATAAAATGATGGAGCAAATGTTATTGCTTAATGATGATGGCTGTTTTTTCCATTTTATCTATATCAAGTGGATACATTCTCCCTCCTTATCCCTAATTGGAAATTACAAACCCCCTGCTTTGGGGCAGGATCAACCCCTAACTGAGCGGTCTGGGAAGAATTTTTTCCGTAGTAGGCAGGTTATGCTGTAATTGCTGTTTCTTGCACCATCTGGTGCTGGCTGCTGTGGGAGGCAGGGTATTGGTCTGATGCAGTCTAGTGACGCCTCTGTTCCTAATAAGAGAGAGTGACCCAGAGAAAGTACATACCCTGAGAGGTAGATGCGAAGGGATCTGAAAAAAGCTCCTGGATTTACACACTCTGTGGAGAGACGGAACGTTCATTCAGGTTAACGAGCGCAGTGGAGTCATAAGCAACGTGTGACATGAACCCTTAGAATCCTGGCTTTTCCGATAGTATTTGGTTTGGAGAGATTCCATGTGTCCCTTCCTGATTGGTTTAAAGTATTTAATCTGTTTTGGCTGATGAGACATTTTAGAAATACATCCATTACTCTTGAACTGCACAAACTTGAGTGATCACATTCAGGGGAGCCCCTTGCTTGCTTGGCCTCTCCACAGAATAAAGTACAATCCATTGGCGGCCCACTGGGATCTGGCTCTGCTGCCGGCACAGAAGATTGGCGCGTCGTTCCGCGGTGCTATGCAGCAGCCCTCTCCTCCTGCCAGGCAGGGCTCTGCCCCAGCCATGCACAGGGAGTGGTTTGCAGACATCCTTTGCCCACAAATAATTTGGGCAACTTGAGTGAAGTAATGCTACTGTCAGTTAGTGGTACTTGCAGTTCGCTTCATTTAGTGAGCCAAAGTGGTTGGCATAAGAATGCCCAGACGGCATCATGCTATGGCTTTAGCACTGGGGATGGTAACTCGTGTACAGAATTTAGTGATGTGGATCCAGTTCTGAACTTCCATCTCCTGCTCATTTCCGTGTGTAACAATGTTGCTGTCTATTACTTGTCCCTGCGATCCCTCTCACGGGTATGCTGACTGGCATACGTGCTAAAACGTGTATTTGGTGAGACAAGCTTAGAATAAAGTGCATCTCATTTCAGCAGAGCACTCTGTGGGATGTCTTTAGGGACAGGAAATTAGTTCTTTGGCTGAAATAATTTGTGCAGATGCCCAGTCTTGGACATGTGGGAAGGATGCAGGAGCTTCCTCAATCAGCACCAAACTCCATATATCCCTGGGAACCATTCCACACTTGTTCTAATTGCCTATCTGACCACAAAGGAGACTCTGCAACAGACTCAGGGAGCCTGAATATTTTACTCCTAATTACAAACTGTTGGGGGGTCTCTCTATCTGGAAGTAATAAAATGGGGATTGATTGTTGCATTAATATAAATTTTGTTGTGGGATTTTTGGTTGGAATTCACAAGCGCAGCTATCCAGTCAAAGCACTTACCGTGAATTAGTTTGAAAGCTTCACGCATCTTGCATATAGACAAGGCCACATCCTGCAGTGCCGTTTCTAAGGAGCAACGGTCATGGTGCAATATGGCATTGATGATCATGGGGATTGCCTTAAAGGGAACAGGGGAAAAACACTCTTGGTATCCAGAACACCAGGCTCAGACTTTCTGAGGAAAGAGACTACGGAGAGTCCCAGGTCACTCCCAGCTGCGATACTGTAGGGTTCTCCAGCAGGAGCCATCACGGGGATTGGCGGGGAATGAAGCTGGTGCCTCCTTGGCCCGGTGCCTCCTTGGCAGGGGTTCACTTACAGTGGGGTCATAAATAATGCCATCCTCTTAAAGGAATGGTGTCCAAACCCCTTCTCCACAGCTCTGCAGCTAGAACCCTGCAGAGGGATGCTGAGGCTACTCCAGTAGTCAGCAACAGCAGGGAAGGGTGGAAAATAACACAGCTAACAGCAAACTGAGGTTTGGGACCCATTTGCTCTTGTTTGTGAGGGGGGACTCCCGTCTGTGGGCAAATGAGGAAGAAAAGGATCTCTGCCTCTGCTGGGTGAAGGGTGCAAAGTGACTTCTAAAACATAAGGGTTTAGATGGATGGTGGAAAAACCTGCACTTGTACTTGGTCATCACGTCCCAGACGTGTTTTGCTCACTTTAAACCGCCCTAGAATCTACTAGACAGAATGCTATGTTCCTGTGAGGTAAACTAAATTGAGTTTGTAAGCAACACTTAGCAGGGCAGGGGCTTGCTCGCTCACAACTGGACTGTTTCATTAGGACTCTGTACCTTGATTCCAGTTGCTGCTGCTGCTTCAACAAGAAGAGAGACTAGGAAGAAACCTTTGTTGCTGTCCCCTCCAGGGAATGAAAACAGGATGTCCAGATTCCTAAGGGAAGATAGATACATTCCCCAGGGCTAGGTCAGTAAAATGACCTCATTGTAATAGCAATTTGTAGCTGATGCTGAGAAACTGTATCCAAGGAGAACTGTGCAATCTAAAAATATCATTAACCAGAAGCTCGTGTGGAATCCAAAGGAAAACCTGCAGTGACTTCTGTGTGCAGCTAGATTGCCAGCTCTTCAGATGAAAGATGCATGTAGAAAAGCAAAACACTTGCAAATCTGAACTAGGTTCCATAACACGCATTGAGGCTGACATATAGAAATGGCTCTGTAAGGTGATGTGTGCACATTTGCACATGCTCGCTAAACTACCCTGCAGAATTGAATGGTTGGTTTCTTTCCCATATCTATTTATACGACGCTAGTACTCTTTCATACAAGTCACTCCATGAGCATAAACTAATCAATCCCTGCCTCCCTCTCTCCCCACCAAAAGTAGTTTTATCCCAGTTTTATGATGGAAAAGCTGAAACACAGAGGTGAGGATCCCTCAACCTGTTTGGGGTTGGTGGTGCACTTTGTTAGTCTGCACAGGTTGAGTTGGGGATGCTGCTGTAGCCATAAGACCAAGCCTTCTTTCCTTTCCTTGCTCTCACCATACCTTCCCGGGTGTGTCTGCACTTCCAGCTGGAGGCGTGACTCCAGCTCGTGGAGACCTACCCACACGAGCTTGATCGGCGTTAGCATGCTAAGAACAGAATGTAGCCATGGGGGTGCTGCACCGAGTGCGGACCCGTCCAACAAGCTAGCCATGTACTTGGGGTGGCTAGCCGCTCCCACCCCTCCCACCTGCTGCAGTTACCCAGCACGCTCAAAATAGTGCATACGTCTCCTTGGGTCACTCGGGTACAGTGCTCTACAGTCCTGTCGTTCGCCAAGACCAACAGATCTACTTACTCAACATTCAGGGGTCTCCAGGCACAGCCGGGGCGGAGCAGCAATTGAGGAAGAAAAAAGAAAGCAGTGAGAAGGAGGAAAGATTTTAAAACTGCGTAAGTGAGAACAACTCAGCGCCGTTGAGTGGCCATGACATGGGTTGTCAGGGTTAGACAGGAAGGGGTCACAACCCCGTCACTGTAATGCGTTTATATGCATTCAGGTGACCTGATCTGGGCGTGACCAACAAGTGAGACCTGCGGGCGTACACATCCAACCGGTGCAGGGCGGGGGTGGGGGCGCTACTATATATAAAGTGCTGTGGCGTCTGAGAGAGGTCATCCCGGAGCTCTACATACCCACAGGGGTCTCTTTTCTTCCAGTTTGCCAAAACACAGTCTGCATAGACGAGGATGGGCGGCAGGTCGAGAAGCTCTGAGATCGTGCAGTAAGGCACTGCAAGCACTCTAGGAAGGATCTAGGTTAAACAAGAGTGTTACAATAACAGCAGAAGGTTACTGTGCTGGGCAGCGAAACAGAGGAGAACCTGGGGAAATTCACCATGTTGGGATGGAAACTCTGCTCCTAACAAAGGCAATTTTGCAGATCAGTGCCAAGTGGGATACTGTGAACCGAGGGCACTGTCAGTCCCTGCTTTTCACCAACTGTCTTTATATTGACAAACCAGTTCAAGAGGGTGGTCCCCAGGCTCAGTGATCATGCTTTTTTCCGCAGTTTGTGTGTGTCTTCAGGGACAGAGGGTGGGTGGTTAGCTGGGCTTCCTGATGCTTGCTCTTCATGCAGCACAGGGGAAGAGAGCTGCATGTTATTGAGCATCGCATGCTTTACAGGTAGGTGGGCTAGTAACATTCCCCAGCACTTGCTCCTCAGTCTCTGACCCGCCCTAGTGAAATGGGAGCCAAGCCAGGGACTGAGTTTTAGCATCGTTGATGCTGCACGATCAGGATGTAGAATAGCAGAGGGTAATAAAGGCGCTGACCTTCACTGTCTGTCTGCTGCCTCCTTGCCACACGTATCCCATTGTGATGAAGCCGAGAGCCAGGCGAGCCAGGCGCAGCTGCCTGTGTCCTCGCAGGTACTGTGTGCTGAGCAGTGGCATCTATGAGGGGAAAAGGCATTAATGCATTAGCACAGCCCCGGGGCTGTGCGAGTTAGCTAACCGGCGCTGCACGCAGCAGGTTACATATCGAACCTTTGCTACTTCCCTGCGGAGCTGATGTCCCTCTATCAGGTGGGGCAGGTTGGCTGCGACATCCATCCAGGGAGCGTAATAATCTGGCAGTTCTGTCTGTATGAAAGAAATCAAAATTAGGGCGTTCCTTTTCACGACAGAATGTTTTCCCTGCTGCAACCCAGCTTCCTTCTGGGTCTGAACCAAGTAGAATCCCACATGCCCGCTCACACGCCTTCCCAGATCAGCACAGAACTCCCACTGACTCTCCCCCGGCACTCCAGCGGGAGACGTGCGAGTTCAGCTGCAGGCCATTGAAGGCCAGGTTTTCAAAAGAGCTCGGCATCCTGGATACCCATTGGGCACAGAGCGCTGCTGAAAATCTGGCCCCAGTTGTGGGGGCTGAGCAATTGGCTGTGGCCAGGAGCCCTCTGGCAATTCCGGCCCTTTGGAGAGCAGAACGTTCCTCCGGAGATGTCCTCGCCAAGAGAACCTGAGTTTAGGGGAGAGCTGGAAATAGCGATCGCTTCCCTCTTGGTCCCACCCCGTTCCCAATTCTCCCTGCCCAGCATCTCCGTGGGAGCTGTGGTCCGAACAGACCTGGTCACAAAATGTGGGAGTGCTGCTCATTCTCTTGCCAAGGGAAGAATAACTGGAAAGACTCTCATGAGGCCTAGGGCCTGAATATTGGATGGGCAGCTAGTTCTTCCTGCTTCTGTCTTTGCTACAGCAAAGTTCAGCTATTTTAAAGACTGAGGGTATGTCTACATTGCAATTAGCCCGAGCCCAAGACAGCTGGCAAGGGCCAGCCATACGTGTAAGGGGCTGTTGAATTTCAGCAGAGATGTTTGGGCTTAGCCCAAGTTCTGGTATCCTCCCACCTTGCAGGATCCTAGAGCCAGGGCTCCAGCCTGAGCCTAAAAGTCTACACTGCAATTAAACAGCCTCTTAGGCCAAGCCTGAGTCAGCTGGCATGGGCCAGCCGTGGGGGTTTTTAATTGCAGCGTAGGCACACTCTTCGTGCCTTGCCACTAGTCCTCAGCTCCAGCATATCAGCTTGGAGGCCAGCGAACATGCAGTGGGCATTCAAAGGGGCATGTTGGGGGGAGCAGGGAATAATAGTGCGCCTTGAAATACAGTTGGAATATTTGGCCTCTGCAGCCTCTTCCCCCTTTCAGCTAATGATGATTAACTGTCAGAGTAAAACACAGACAGCTGTGAAGAATTTTTTATTATTATTTTTTACAAATCAAAATTCCATTTAATCAAGTGGCAGACAACATATTCGCTTGTCCAACCATGCTCCCTGGGCATGGGCAATTCGGTTTGGCCGGTGTAATGAGAACAGACAGATGAAGCAATCATGCTTGACAGATGCATCTAATTTGGGATCAGTCAGACGCTACGTAAGCATCATGCGAGACAAACATTTTGGTTTTATTCACTTATTGATGGGGAAACTCCCATTTTAAAACCACCATGGCCTGATGGTGCTTTTTAGCATGCTCTGCACGTAGGTCTGAGGCTTAGATGCACGTCTTCCTATTTATTGATCTCTCACTGTATGTTTGTGGAGCCCCAAATTTGGCCTGATGTCATACTACAGCAAGGCACTATTTCTACAGAATTTTTGCACGATTTGTGCTCAAATATATAAATTTAGGAGAAATAGTTTGGTGGCTTTTTCCCCTCTCACTGGCATGTTGAAAACCCTTTTTTTGGCGGTTTGAAAATGATACAGACACAAATAAAAAGGAAGTGCAGAGAGAACAGAGATGGCATTGTGTTGGAAAATAAAACAAGTTGAATTATGTTTCTCATATAGCCCATGATGAAGTGATACTTCAGTCTATTACTGATAATTATGTCGCTCATGAGCTTTCCAAGTTTCTGCTCTGCTTGCTGGTCATCTTGATCTTGTAGAAACTTCACTGTACAATCACAGCAAGCCTCTAGGGATGCTCTGAGGTACAACGTGTATTCACGACAGGTGTTTTAAGTCAAAAATTTCAGTCCATGTAAGTTCCCTTGATAAGTATTAAAAACAAGCCATTTGAACTGTATGTAATGTACACAATTTTAAAATCTGGACTGTCATGGCAATAAATAAATGTGACAACCTCCCCTTGTCCGCGGCTAGATTCTGAGGCCAGATCTCATGTTGCGCAAGATGTGGGGCCGCCTCCTGACTTCCTCTGGAGTGAAATCGGAATCTGGCCTGTTATGACCATGTGAACGTATTTGTAGAGTGTCCCATCAGTCTGCTTTACTTTGCAAAGCTGGTTTTCCAGTCCCAATGAGGCTTAAGGAGCTCAAGTCCTCTCTCAATTGATTTAGTCTACCTTCTCTTTGATAAAGTACCGTATCTATACACAGCGATCACCAGTGTCATAGCAGGGGCTTTTCAACCTCTGACACAAGCATAACAAGAATCAGTGGCAGGAAGTTAATTTTACTTTAAATAATGAAAGATCTTAGCAGGGGAGGGGGTGGAATCACCATTGCTGGAAGCAGATGTAATTTCCTGGTTGTGAGGGTGATTAAATAAGTTCATCTTAAATTCAACCTTGAAGTATCTATCTTGTTAAAAGATAGGCCATGGAATTTCTCCCAGCAGCTGGAATAAAGCATCTGTGAGCAGGGGGTCAGGCTGGTCCATTCTGGCCTTAGAATCTGAATGAACAGTGGGATTCATACATCTCCTTTCCTCATGGGGAGAATGGGATTGCCTGCATTGCCAGCAATGGGTTCATAATGCTTACAGCTCTGCATTAAGACGGTGGTAATCAAATCTCATGTTTCAGGATTCAGCCTGTTCCCTGCAGGGGTCAGGAGGGAACACGCACCTACCCCAATTGGCCAGATGTATGCTGCTTTTTTTTTCTTCCCCCTTTTTTCCTCCTTTTCTGTGAAGCATCAGAGATTAGCTGGAGAAGGGGGATGGGTGGTCTGAAGCGGTACAAAGAATTCTTTCCAGATAGGGGCTGATGGGTCTTGCTCAGACCTCAGGGTCTAACCGATCCCCGCCCCAATGTGGGGGTCTGGAAGGAATTTTTTCCCAGGTCAGACTTTCAGGGACCTTGGAAAGCAAAAAACCCTCCGCCATGTGTGGGTGTGCGGGTCGCTTCCTCCAATTATCTGGGTATATCGAATCCATTCCCTGCCATTGCAGGCCCTAAGTCAGTGGTGGTACCTTGGTCTCTCCCATTCTTTCCCTGGGGTCCACCATTTAGTCTCCTGCGGACTGAAATTGTCTGGTCTGACTAAAGTGTTTGGGGTAACATAGGGTTACCTGGCTAAAAAATAATGGCTTGTGAGATACAGACGGTCAGGGGGGATGATCTAATAGTTTAGCGTGTAAGGCCAGAAGGGACCAAGAAACACGAAATGCTTAGGCCCCATTCAAGTCAAAGGTGCCTTTTGAAAATAAAGGATGTAGGTGCCTGCTACCCTAAATGTATAAAGGATTTCACAGAATATTCAGTTCATCCACTGAGTCTCTTAAACCAACTGCAAGTGTGTAGCTGATAGCAAATGATACCCCTGTGACAGGACAGGCTTTCAGATCCTAGTTTAAGGTATAATGTGAAAGTCAGGTGTGTTTGTTTGGATGTGGGCTTTTTATTTTTTGTAAGTTCTCAACCATTGTTTTGGCTAATGTTTGAAACAGACCATGAATCCCAGTAATGATGGAACCTGGCGCCATTCTAAAGAAGAAGAGCACTCAGCCAGGCTTGAGGCTGTTTCCAACACTTCAGGCTGACTCTCAAACACTCTCAGCTTTAGCGTGACGTTTGCGTGACTGTATGTGCTGGTTGTGGTGTTACATGGGTGGTGAATGAGGGCTGTGCGCTGCGGTGAGGGGGTCTGTGCATTTGGGATATTTGTCACATGGATTTGGCGGCCGAACCAAGAAATCCACCATCTGTGCGGTCTCCCTCGTACAAATAATGAAATTGCTGCGTGAAAGTAGCTGAAGAGTAAGGGTGGTAACTTGTTACTTCTGATATCACAATGGTCTGTCTAGGACTCTTGGAGTGATACAGAGTCGTGCCTGACCATAGCTACAAACTGTGTACAATTTCTGAGAACTTAAAAATTGGACAGTAGCAGACAACAAAACCCATTGATTATTCAACCTGGAGATATTCTGAGCAAAAAGAGCTCACAGCCCTATTGGAGTTGTTTCCAGTGCTTCACACTGTGACTTTGCATACAAGCTCTCAGGTAAGTCTCTCTCTGTGTCACTCTGAAGCCTTAAATATCTGTTTAATTTAGTTAGAAATGAATTACTAAAATATACATATTACTTAGAGCATTAAATATGTTTTACACACACCATTCCTTAAACAATAGTGTATTACACATACTCTAATGAGCACTTAATTAGCATATAAAATTGCAATAATTGCTAAGCAGCAGTTACTTTATATAATAAATAATAATAGCAAATATTTTTATGTTGCCATATAGAGCAAATATATTTTGCTCTATCGGTTTAGCAGACCAGGCCAATGTGCTGCGTAAAATTTTAACTTGCCACTGTAATCCTAGAACTCTTACCAGTGGGTTTGGGAGAACAAAGCCATATTCTTCTGAAACATGAAACTTCTCCAGGTTCTGCAGACTCTCGCTTTTGTCTTCATGTTCCATGCCTGTGATGTAGCTTCTTAATTTCCCTGCCCATCAGCCCCTGAGCAGTGAGAAATTATCGCTCTATCAGGAGTAGAAACTGCCCTGTCTTTTCATTTACTTGCCTGCTCTTTGGAGTTTAAATAGGTTGTAATGTATGGGGGACTTTTTTGTTCCCCAATCAAAATCACCTGATGGCTTATTTTCTGTTTTCCGTTGTGTAGCCAGCAAATTGAAAATAGTATCACTTCCTCCTCTTAATGCTTCTCTTTACTCATGAGGTTTGAGAAGTAACAGAGCTGAATCGATCCCTTACCAAATGTAGCGTGTAATAATCTTTCGATGCAAATGGTCCTGATCACAAGGCATTCGTTCCTTAGGGCAGGGTTAAAGTCAGTTTGTCTTTCTCTCCAGGCTAATAAATATGGAACAACTTGATGGCACCCAGACACAATTTCCCAACGATGGTTGTCTTGGTACCTTTCATCCTGAAGGGTCACAGGGTGTTGCAAGCTTAACAGACTTCCTGTGAAGTCACCATCTCTGAAGAGCAGTCATTTCTGAGATGGGCTATGGCAACTATTAAATAGGGTGCAGCAATATAAGAAAAGACTGGGCAGGAAGGGGGGTGTGTTGGGGAGGGAATTTAGGAAGGCAGAATTCCTGGACAAATTCCTTTTGGACAATGTGGGTTCAATTTGGCTGGCAACTGGCAGGCACAGCACGTTTATGTTCAAGGACTGTTGAAAATGTTTGATGTACCATAACATGCCTTGTAAGAGAAGCCATGTTAATGGGCAAGTGATCCGGACCCTGGTTTTACCTCGGCCCCCTGGGACTTCAGCTGAGTTACTTCCAAATAACTGAGCCACCCCACAGTTAGGGGAGCAAACACCTTCCAGGTGCTGTTTCTATTGGCATTTAAATATGAATTCTGACCCAGACCCAATTTGTCTTGATTAGCAGATCTCTCCGAGCTATTTTCACCTCTGCCTATGCGAACAGGTCACTTTACATCAGGCTTTGAAAAGCAGCTCTGTTGCAGACTTTCAAGGGTACGAAAAATCAACACCCCTAAGAGGTAGTGTAGACGAACCCAGAGAGCCCTATGCTGATCTGACCCCTGCTGTAGGCAGCTCTAGATCAGCGGAAGAATTTTTCTTCGTGGACCTAGCACCCTCCTCTTGGGGAGGTGGATTAACTGCAGCAACAGAAGAATCCCTCGCATTGCTGTAGTGAGTGTGCACACACAATGCTGCAGCGCTTCCAAGTGTTGATGTCGTCTTCGGGCAAATGTTATCTGATTCTTCACAGGAAGTGCTTGACCATTTCTGTGTCTCAGACTGCATCCGATGACGTGGGCTGTAGCCCACGAAAGCTCATGCTCAAATAAATTGGTTAGTCTCTAAGGTGCCACAAGTCCTCCTGTTCTTTTTGCCGATACACTTCCAAAATGACAGGTTTCAGAGCAGCAGCTGTTAGTCCGTAATTCACTACAGTGCTCATTTTGGCCACAGGGTGGCAGTGCTGCATGCAAAATGAACAGAGGACGTCAGCGAAGGGGAAATTTCATATTGCGTTAAGAACAGGAGGACTTGTGGCACCTTAGAGACTAACCAATTTATTTGAGCATGAGCTTTCGTGGGCTACAGCTCACTTCATCGGATGCATACTGTGGAAAGTGTAGAAGATCTTTTATACACACAAAGCATGAAAAAATACCTCCTCCCACCCCACTCTCCTGCTGGCAATAGCTTATCTAAAGTGACCACTCTCCTTACAATGTGTGTGATAATCAAAGTGGGCCATTTCCAGCACAAATCCAGGGTTTAACAAGAACGTCTTTCGGGGGGGGGAGGAAAAACCAAGGGGAAATAGGTTACCTTGCAAGTATTCCTTTTCTTTTTGCGAATACAGACTAATACGGCTGTTACTCTGAAACCTGCCATATTGCGTTGCAATCCACAGGGAAAGGAGGACTTGTGGCACCTTAGAGACTAACCAATTTATTTGAGCATAAGCTTTCGTGAGCTACAGCTCACTTCATCGGATGCATTCAGTGGAAAATACAGTGGGGAGATCTATATACACAGAGAACATGAAACAATGGGTGTTACCATATACACTGTAACGAGAGTGATCACTTAAGGTGAGATATTACCAGCAGGAGAGCAGGGGACACCTTTTGTAGTGATGATGAAGGTGGACCATCTCCAGCAGTTGACAAGAACATCGGGGGGGGGGGGGGAATAAACATGGGGAAATCGTTTTACTTTGTGTAACGACCCATCCACTCCCAGTCTCTATTCAAGCCTAAGTTAATTGTATCCAGTTTGCAAATTAATTCCAATTCAGCAGTCTCTCGTTGGAGTCTGGTTTTGAAGTTTTGTTTGTTGAAGAATTGCAACTTTTAGGTCTGTAATCGAGTGATGAGAGAGATTGAAGTGTTCTCCGATTGGTTTTTGAATGTTATAATTCTTGACATCTGATTTGTGTCCATTTATTCTTTTACGTAGAGACTGTCTACGTACAACAGTGGTTCCCTTAACCCACCCAGCAATATTGTTAATCTATCCAACTATACTCTTAGGACAGATTCTTCTGCTGGGCTATCTCGGGATCTCTCCTTCTGCCATTCCACCCCCACGAACATGATACAATTCTGTGGTGACCTAGAATCCTTTTTTCGACGTCTCCGACTCAAGGAATATTTCCAACACACCTCTGAACAACATAGTAACCCACAGAGACCTTCCTACCAAGACTACAAAAAGAAGGATTCTGGGTGGACTCCTCCTGAAAGTCAAAACAACAGACTGGATGTCTACATAGTGCTTCCGCCGACGTGCACGGGCTGAAATTGTGGAAAAGCAGCATCACTTGCCCCAAAACCTCAGCCGTGCAGAACACAATGCCATCCACAGCCTCAGAAACAACTCTGACATCATAATCAAAAAGGCTGACAAAGGAGGTGCTGTCGTCATCATGTATAGGTCGGAATACGAACAAGTGGCTGCTTGGCAGCTCTCCAACACCACTTTCTACAAGCCACTACCCTCTGATCCCACTGAGTTTTACCAAAAGAAACTACAGCATTTGCTCAAGAAACTCCCTGAAAAAGCACATGAACAAATCCGCACAGACACACCCCCTGGAACCCCAATCAGGGGTATTCTGCTACCCAAGATCCATAAACCTGGAAATCCTAGATGCCCCATCATCTCAGGCATTGGCACCCTGACAGCAGGATTGTCTGGCTATGTAGACTCCCTCCTCAGGCCCTATGCTACCAGCACTCCTAGCTACCTTCGAGACACCACTGACTTCCTGAGGAAACTACAATCCATCGGTGATCTTCCTGAAAACACCATCCTGTGGACGTAGAAGCCCTCTACCCTAACATTCCACACAAAGATGGACTACAAGCCGTCAAGAACACTCTCCCCGATAATGTCATGGCAAACCTGGTGGCTGAACTTTATCCTCACCCAGAACTATTTCACATTTGGGGACAGTGTATACCTTCAAATCAGCAGCACTGCTACGGGTACCCGCATGGCCCCACAGTATGCCAACATTTTTATGGCCGACTTAGAACAACGCTTCCTCAGCTCTCGTCCCCTAACGCCCCTACTTGTGCTACACTGATATCTTCATCATCTGGCCCCATGGAAAAGAAGCCCTTGAGGAATTCCACCATGATTTCAACAATTTCCATCCCACCATCAATCTCAGCCTAGACCAGTCCACACAAGAGATCCACTTCCTGGACACAACGGTACTAATAAACGATGGTCATATAAACAGCACCCTATACCAGAAACCTACTGACCGCTATTCCTACCTCCATGCCTCCACCTTTCATCCAGACCACACCACACGATCCATCGTTTACAGCCAAGCTCTGCGATACAACCGCATTTGCTCCAACCCCTCAGACAGAGACAAACACCTACAAGATCTCTGTCAAGCTTTCTTACAACTACAATACCCACCTGCTGAAGTGAAGAAACAGATTGACAGAGCCAGAAGTCACCTACTACAGGACAGGCCCAACAAAGAAAATAACAGAATGCCACTAGCCATCACCTTCAGCCCCCAACTAAAACCTCTCCAACGCATCATCAAGGATCTACAACCTATCCTGAAGGACGACCCATCACACTCTCAGATCTTGGGAGACAGGGCAGTCCATGCTTACAGACAGCCCCCCCCAACCTGAAGCAAATACTCACCAGGAACCATACAACAGAACCACTAACCCAGGCACCTATCCTTGCAACAAAGCCCGTTGCCAACCGTGTCCACATATCTATTCAGGGGACACCATCAGAGGGCCTGATCACATCAGCCACACTATCAGAGGCTCGTTCACCTGCGCATCTACCAATGTGAAATATGCCATCATGTGCCAGCAATGCCCCTCTGCCATGTACATTGGCCAAACTGGACAGTCTCTATGTAAAAGAGTAAATGGACACAAATCAGATGTCAAGAATAACATTTAAAAACCAGTCGGAGAACACTTGAATCTCTCTCGTCACTCTATTACAGACCTAAAAGTTGCAATTCTTCAACAAACAAACAACTTCAAAAACAGACTCTAACGAGAGACTGCTGAATTGGAATTAATTTGCAAACTGGATACAGTTAACTTAGGCTTGAATAACCTCCCTCCCCCTGCCACTGTTCCTCAGACATTCTTGTCAACTGCTGGAAATGGCCCACCTTGATCATCACTACAAAAGGTTTCCCCCCTCCTCCTCCTCCCCCCCCCCCGCTCTCCTGCTGGTAACAGCTCACCTTAAGTGATCACTCTCTTGTTACAGTGTGTATGGTAACACCCATTGTTTCATGTTCTCTGTGTATATAGATCTCCCCACTGTATTTTCCACTGAATGCATCCGATGAAGTGAGCTGTAGCTCACGAAAGCTTAAGCTCAAATAAATTGGTAAGTCTCTAAGGTGCCACAAGTTCTCCTTTTCTTTTTGAGGATACAGACTAACACGGCTGCTACTCTGAATCCAGAGGGAACCAATTCCAGCCATTCCCTTCAGGGAAACGGTTCTCCCCACTCTCTATTCGATTTCTATAGCCAGGAAAGTTGCGTGGAAATAGCCTCGAAGGGTTAAAGCTGAAAGTCTCTGCAGAATTGTCCTATGTGCCCAAAGTGTTACTGTAAAATTGTATAATTGTAGACCTATCTTGAAATGGGAAGTCATCAGCCAGTGAGTTGTGGTGTTTTTTCTTTCTAGTGGGAGATTTGGTTTTTGGCCCCATGCTATTTTTGTGATGATAAATTGGGGGGGTGGTACGTAGTTTGCAGATATGAGTGGCAATGATGTAAAAAATTAAGTGCATCAATGGCCTCGAATAAAACAAATCTCCGAGCAGATCGCTGAGTGACCTAGACCAGCGCTACTCAAAGTGGTGGTCCGTGGACCGGTGCCGCTCCACAAACAATCAGCTGCCGGTTGCATGCACATCGGGGGGGGGGGGGACGACGACAAAAAATGCCGGTCCCCCACATCAGATAGCTTGAGAAGCACAGACCTAGATCACTTTTAATATGGCCAAATTGATGTACACATGTCCAAGTGTTTGCTTGAGCTCAGCTTACCATGTCTATGGATGTAGGCCATACTTACAGAGTGGGGGACTTTATCCACCACAACTCCCCCTTTTTGTGCTTAGTCACTGCTTCCCAAGATAATCAGCTGAACATAAGCTCCCAGTGTTTTCTTTAGCAGCATCAGCAGCAAGAACATTTTATACAAAGGACAGTTCCAACAGCTCTAATACCTTGTACAAGAGAAGTGTGGTTTTTAGCCCAACACAACGAACAGTTGTTACTTTGGTGGGGGGAAAAAATCTGTCAAAGATGAGGGTTTTCCTTGAAACTTATAAAAATAAGACTCAAGCATTTAAAACATTATCTTCTCTAACAATCCTTAGTTTCCTTAGTTTAGGTAGTTTGTAGATGGTTAAGAAGGGAAAACAGAAGGTAAGTACCGGTAATTATTAAAATGGTGCTCAGTAAATAAAAAGCAAGCTAACATGCCATTAGACTGAGGTCTCAGTGGTATACAGTTTGCCTCTTTGAGTAACAAACACCAAATTTTGTTGTTAACCCAATCACTGTCCAATGTTAATATTAAACGCCTTTGTACTGTTATACCTTTGGATGGCGTTGTAACTTTGACGAGCCCATAGATTGATGTATAGGCCCAAACAAATAAATATTTGTTCCATCTAGTAATGGCTGGAAGTTGAATTGAGATAAATGCAGCCTGGAAAAAAGGTGTAAATTTGTAACAGTGAGGGTAATTCACCGCTGCAACAATTTATCAAGTGGTGTGGTGACGGATTCTCCATCACCGGCAAGTTTTAATGTCCACTCTTGATTTTTGAGATTTAATCTGGCATAAGGAATTGTTCTGGGGACATTCTACAGCCAATGTTATACAGGAGATGAGACTACATGATCACAATGGTCCCTTCTGGCCTTGGAATCTATGAATTATGCACATACATGTGTGTCTGCCCTTCCCCCCCCCCCCCCCCAATCTCTCAAAGCGTCTCCTGCTCCTACAGTTATTGTAGGAATGACCATGCACTGCTGGACAACAGTACCTGAGACAGACAGGGGGTGGGGGTCTCCTTTTAACCTGATTACATAGGTCCCTGCCTGGTTTGCTGTGAAGAATTCAGCAGATAACCAAGTACAGACCGTTCCAGGGACAAAACCACAGCTCCATGGCGCTTTGCCCCAGGTACAGAGAATATAACATACCTGTTCGGAGGGTGGGGGGAAGAGCTGCGGTTTCCATACCTTGTTGCTCGTTCTAGTGACCCAGATTTTACCAAGTTCTCTCCCCACTTGTTTTTCTCTTCAGTAAGGTGAAGGTGAGCAGTAGGGTTATCACTTTTTTTTTCTTTGTTAGCCCCTTTACCATTACAGTGAGCCATATGCGCAGCTGAAGCCATGTAGATTGCGCTGGAATGTCTCCTCCTGAGTTGTTCAGCCTTATCGGATCAGCTTCTTCTAGCATGGGGGGTGCCTGCACTTCTTTGACATCAGCAAAGGGATTTGTCATTGGTGGTTAAACTTTAACTTACTACCCCCACTGAACAGGCCTTTCCAGTTGGGAGTCTGCATGCCCCGCCTATGTACGGGAACTAAATCAAAGTAGTATTTTCTGTGCTTTCTTTTGCATTTGTAGAGGTAATAGCTTTTCCTCTTAGGAACTGCTGTTAAAGCAGCCCCAGTATGTTTCATAAGGAATGTCACGTGCTGGATGTTTGTTTTAATCTAAGAACTGGCTTTGTGGTTGCAGGGGGATTTTTGTGATTTCAGTCCTTCACTACTCGTGAATAATCCCTGCCCATCTCTTTTAGGTCTGATACAACAATTGTTTTCCCCCCTCTTCTCAAAGATCAGCTGATATATTTTAACTTTTGCCCACTTCTCTACACATGCAGGTTCTGCTAGCAGCAATGCTGTGATGCTAAAAAAAGGAATTTATTCTGAATTGGACAAAGCAGGACACCCTTTGAGTAACTTCCCTACCTTACCGTAACTGGAGCTCTTTGAGATGTATGGCCTCTCTCAGTATTTCACAAGCTGCCCTCCTTCTCTTCTGCTTCAGATCTTGGCAAGATTTGTGATAGAGACAGGGCTTACCAGGAGTGGGGCAGATCAACTCAGTGCAGAGCGTGAGGGGGCACGGACTGGACAGGGCGCAAGCATGGACCAACGGACGCCGCTTGCGAGAATTCTTGTCTCGGGCACGCATACCCATGCAGGAATACGCAGAGCGACCAGCACTCCAAGAAGGGGAACTTTACATAGGGACGAGCACTGAAAGAACTCCAGTTCTTTCCTTACTGTATATTCCAGTGTGGGTGACTAGCAGAACTCACTATCTCTTCCTCAGTAAGGATGCCGACGGGATTGCTGCTTGTAGAACCATTGCTCCAAAGGATGCCTCGGCAGAGAAGCGTTGGACCCACGGCGTAATGTCTTGTGAACGTGTGGATGGAATTCCACGTTTGCTTGGTATTTAGAGGGCAGCAACCTCTGAAAGCGATGCCACTGAGGCAGTTTGTGCCCTTGGGGACTGAGCCCTTGCCCCGTGTGGAGGAGGAAGCTGTGCCAAACTGAAACGGAGGCTTTCTTCTCTATGGAATCCCTGTCTGGGATAGAGACTGCACCTGCGACGTGTTCAACCCTGGTTCAGATCGGTTTGGCAAATGGGGTCACGTGGGTGCATGCCACTAATTGACCCAACAGCATCGGGAAGGAACAAACTATTGTTTGAGGGCTGAGATGGCTTTGGACACTGAGGTTCCTCAAGGGTAGAAACCTGTCCGGCAGTAAGTATGGTTTGTCCATGGTCCAGTCCAGAGCTGCTCCAAAGAACACTGTTAGCTTACCGGACGCACACTAGAGTGACACTGAGGCCCCAAGGACTGGCGCAGGCTCAGCAGGGTGCTCGTTGCCATGTGTTCTTGGTGGGACTGGCTCTTGAGGAGCCAGCTGTAACGCACATGTATTTCCCTACCTTGATAATTGTTGTGAATATCCCCAGGGGAATTGCTCAACCTTGCCTGGGGACTTACTCAGCAATGCCCCCAAGACATGCCTGGACTTCTGTTTTATACCCTCAGTCCACACGCTTGGAGAACACAACACAATGGCCACATGCTGGGCCTTTCTCCCGCCCCCCTCTGCTGCAAGCAAGACAGATGCTCCGAAGAAGACCGAAGACTCCAACAGCGGAGCCAAAACACAGGTTTGTCCCTTCAACCGGGGCCAAAGGACTGCAATACGGGGGGGGGAGGGTGTGAGAAAAACTGACTTTTTGCTTAATTTGAAATCTAAGTGCATCTAAGACGGGGTTAAACTAGATGTTGCCCAGTCTAATGGTGCTTGAGAGTTTAGACTACCACATACTTACTTCAGGCAAACGGTTAAAAGAACATATAAACACGCAAACAGTAAACACACCGGTAAAAGAACTTTGGTACTGATCTTTTGTAGTAAAGATTGTGACAGGCTGGCCCCCCCTCGGACGTCCCCTGGGGTGCCAGGAGGCCACCGTGAGGGGACCCAGGCTGGCGGATTAGTCTTTTACCCAGTGGTGCTGGGGTAGGCTCCCCAGTGTTTTCCAGCCAAGCACACTGTGCAGCTGGGTGTGGCTCTGTCTGAGTGCCAGACATCTGCTCTGGGAAGGCTCAGCTTAAAGGGCTTGCCGCAGCACCCAGGTGCTGCTCTCCCCTCTCCCTGCCTACCCCCTCAGAGTACAAACCGACAATGTATATGAAATTCACCTCTTCCCTCAATGCGGAAGAGGGTCCGCACAACTTCACTCCCACTGCCCCCTGTGAGGAGAAATTTAACCTGGACTGTAATTTACATGTGATTTCTATTTGTATTAGTAAAGTAAGGTGTGTTGTTAAGCTTAATACACTTTCTTATAGGGCAGAAATAATCTGTTTTAAATTGCCTTTTTCTAAGAAAATGAGTTGGCTTGCTCTGTCTGCTAACTGGTTTTTTAGAACCATATTCAGGGTGGGAACTTGCATGTGATCTTCTTCAGACTTCCCCCAGTTCAGACTTTGTTTTCAGTTCTTTCTTACCCTTCCAACCTGGTTCCAGCAACTTTCATCTTGGGTCAGGTCACGGGAGAACTGATGACCTGGATTACCTCATTCCCCACCCTGAAATGGGATTTACATTAGGAAACAGACCCCCCTCCACGAGTCCCACCTGTTTGTTTTCCACAAGAGGCTAAGTACAGAATGCAAGATGGGTTCCAGTAGCGGGTGACATGGTCACATGCCTCTGTAGGCCCACTGTAAAAGACCTTGTCTCTTGGTGATCGGCCATTAACGCTGTCTGGCTTTTTCATTGCTGTATCTGAAGTGTTTGTAACTTCAGATACAGAAATAGTCAATCACATATATTCTAATTACAGACATACAAGTTGGCTCATATACTAGATATGTTACTTTGTGAGAGAGTTCTGAAAATAGCGGGGGCCTCACCCATAGGAATATTATCTTTCTGCAAGATGGATATGATTTACTGAATGTGATGTCATTCCAGAGTATGCAAACCTGAGCAAAGTATCTTTTCTCCGTGTGACGCATAAGTAAGCAGCTATGGGAGCATTCATGCGATCTAGCAGGGTGCGGGGCTCCACATGCGGTTGTGCTGAGCGCCTCGAGGGGCTTGCTGCTTGTCTCTAGCCTGGGCTGTCTTTCTCAGTGCTTTGCTTGTGAGTTAAGGGGGCACAGCGGTCCCACAGTCCCAGGCTGCATCCTGGGGATCCTGTCACAAGGGGTACTCACTGGGAAGATCCATGGGGAAGGGGAGGCAAGGTTTGACACCTGGCCCTGTTGGGATAAGGGCCTTGTGTCAGGGGAGAGGGGAGGTTTCTTCCCCCTAACTATATCAGTTTTTGCTTAAACTAAAGTCTAACATATGTAGCTAATTAATTCCATATTTTACAGGTAAATGTTGAGTGGAAGAAGAAATATAGCGTCCGCAAATGGTAGATGAGGAAAAGACATAGTAATAGGAGGATTCCATTCCAAAGGAGGAGGAATTTCCAGTCCTGGGTGGATGGAGCACATGTGTACCACAGTGACGACTCGTAACTTGGTCACTTCTTCGCGTGCCGGTTGAGTAAACGTGCCATAAGGCACGGTAATGGAATTAAAGGAGCTGGGTCCAATTCACAATAAACAGCAATTTGTACAGGATGGAATTTAATCTTTTCTAGCAAAGCCAGGCCCATGTGCATCTCAAGAAGGGCAAGAATGTGGTGGAAGATCACCACATCATAAGCAGGTTCTAGGCACAGAGGCAGTATGACTCTGTCAAAGGGCACAAGGTTCTGATCGGAGCTATATTTCCCAAGGATTTAAGGTACGCTCCGAGGCTGTGTGGTTTTTTGGCCTTACTTTGCTTATTGAGGGATGAGAAACATGTGCACGAAATTTCAGTCTACCAAGAGCTTGCACCACCACTGCTCTTCTTTTGCGGGCTGTTGTTTTTCTTTTCAGTTGCGAGTGCGGCGGGGGCCTCCCCATCGCGATCGTTCCGTTCCGTACTCCTGGTGCACTAAACAAAGAATCTGCTGAGTTTCACAGCACAAAGGCCATACCCACACACATGCAGTCACGGTTCCGTTCTTCACCCCCTGTATTGTGACTGTTTGTCGTTATACTCATCTCAAACTAGTGCTTGTTCCTAACAGTAAATGTGTCTGACTGACAGTATACTCTGACAGTCTGCACCACAAGCTGCTGCTGCAAAGAATGCAACAGAAGTAGATGTCGATTACCCCACTTTGTGTTTAATTGTGCCCCCTTGCACTGGAAGTTCCATGGTGCATGTTACTGTAGGGTGTGTCCTGCATTTAGAAAAAGTCTCTATGGGGGTATGGTTACCGGATGCTGCAGGCTGCTGACTGAGTTTATGTATGTGTATTCTTTGAGAGCTTGAATGCGTGATCAGATGAGAAAATGTTCGTCGACCGTACAATCACAAATGTGTATGTATGCAATGGTGTTCTGCGTGCACTTTTGTGCACCTTATGTATGATAGGGTGCGACTAAATATGCGTTCAAACTATTTGTGTGCGTTAGCATCTGCAAGCAGCCAGATCTGTCCACTGGATTGATCTGTATAACTCACATACATTTTAAAAACATATGAATGTTTGCCACTCGCATGGACAGGCATTGGGTGCTGCTGAGTGCTATATATGTGTACGTCTGATGTGCTTGACATGTACCAAAGACATGAAGTTCATTGACTTTTCCTGTATATCTCATTACGACTAAATATACCAATAAGTGCTTGACTTGGGAATATTCATTCCTCAAAGTGCTTGACTTTTTTTTGTATGTCTAAACACACAAGATTATTTGTAGAGAATCTCTCTCTACAAACAACACACATTTTCCATGTGGTTACTTTGCACATCTGTTAGATAATGTGTAGAGAGAGATCCACAATTAGTTTGAAGATAAATTTACAAGC